TAAGGACATTACAGAACCAATTATGTGAAAGACCAGCTTTACTCTACAGCAGAGTGATGCAGTTGAAATGCCTGGGTGACAGGAAGCCATCAAAGAGGGACCTGGACAAGCTCGAGAGGTGGGTCCATGCCAACCATGACAAGGTTCAACAAGGCCAAGTGCAAGGTCCTGCACCTGGGTTGGGGCAGCCCCCAGTATCAATACAGGCTGGGGGATGAAGGGACTGAGGGTGGGTGAAATGCTGGACACGAGCCAACAATGTGCACTCACACTCCAGAAAGCCAACTGTGTCCTGGGCTGCATCAAAAGCAGCCTGGCCAGCAGGTCAAGAGAGGTGATTCTGCCCCTCTCCTCTGCTCTGGTGAGACCCAACCTGGAGTACTGCGTCCAGCTTTGGAGCCCTCAGCACAGGAAGGACATGGACCTGTTGGAGGGGGTGCAGAGCTCACAAAAACAGAGGGCTGGGACATCTCTCCTATGAGGACAGGCTAAGAGAGTTGGGGCTGTTCAGCCTCTAGGGAGACCTTATTGTGTCAGTACTTAAAGGGGGATATAAGGATGAATTCTTTATAATCAGGGTGGCAAAACACTGGAACAGGTTGCCCAGAGAGGTGGCAGATGCCTCATCCCTGGAAAGATTCAAGGTCAGGTTGGATGGGGCTAGTTGAAGATGTCCCTGTTCATTGCAGGGGGGCTGGACAAGATGACCTTTAAAGGACCCTTCCAACCCCAACCACTCTATGATTCTACCTAGTTGAGGCAGACAAGCAGAATTAGAAATGCTATGTGCAAGAGAAAGAATTCACAATCAGTTCCTGTACCCAGCACAGCAAAAGCAGAGGTTTTGCCAAAAAACCAAAAAAAGTTGTTATTCATGAGGCTCTCAACTTCTCTCCAAATGGGCTCACCAGAGTTAGGCAGCTACTCTTGTACTCCTACAGGCAGAGGCAAACTTGGGGCTTGGAGTGAGGGGGTGTGTGCAGAGAAACAGAGGTAATTGACCTAATTGCAGAGTTGTGGAGTTCACACTTACATACTAAAGGATAACAGTAGTTAGAAAAAGTAGCATCACTCTGATGCTACTTTGAACTTCGTAAGCCAGCAAAGGAAACACTAATTACAGTTCAGATTCCCCATAAAAGTTCAACTTCATTTTCTCGCTACACGGTGCAGAAGAATTTAATTTTTAAAATGTTTCCAGTCACAGCAGAAACCTATCACTTTCCAAGTTTGACTTAAACTCATACCAACTCAAACTCCTATGAAGTCGCCTCGTGCCTGGAATGATGTTTGGCTCTACAGCTACTCACAGGCACTGGCAGAAGGACTCCAGAAGGAGAAGGCAGGAGCCTGTGGAATGTCTCTACCTCCATTACTGAGGCTCGTCCCAGTAAGAGCACAGCACGTGCCTCCTGCTTCTGAAAATGTGCTGCTGCTGCTTTCAGCGCGCCTTTCCATACTCGGAGCAGCAGCGCTGCAGCGTATAGCGCTGCTTCTGTAAACAATTCCAATGTTATGATCTAGGTGACTTTTGGAATACCCTTTATAAGCCTCTAAAAAAACCCACATAACTGCTCTCTGTAACATGTCTGTAATTATTAGGCTAGATTTAGAAGCCCGGGTACATAAGTAATTCCACAGAATGCAACAATAGATGTTCTACAGCAGTAACTTTACTTTTTATCTGCAGATGCACTTAAAATGGCAATAAAACATCAAAAGGCTTCCTTTCCAAATGCAGAGATGAAATGCATCCCTTTAGATACCACAGTCACTCTTATAAAAACTACGAAAAGCATTTGGGTCCCATCTGATCTTCCTTTTCTGTTAACTCTTCAGGATGGGGAAGGCATTTCAGCTTAGACACTGACTGAAGAAATACCTCACTATTCCCACAGCAACCTCTGACATAACAAAGCCAGTACCAGATGAATTTAGATGGTATTTCCTCAAAAATTATCTTGCTTCCACGGGTAAAGCACTGCTGCAACCCCCTTATTTTTATAATGACATTATCAGATTCTCAAGATGGTTATGCTTTGAGAGAAAGAGCTGCTGGGCCCCTCAACTACATTTGGCTCCCAATTTTACTCCAACACCATTTTTTTTCCTCCTTATCAACAGCAGCTTCCTAGAAGTAACTCACATTTCATTTCCATACTCGTGCCTGAAGCATTTTCTCCGGGTGTGGCTCCATAACCAGCCTAATGGCTTGTAACAAGTGCAAGGGAGCCTGGCTCTACCTCTTCCTGCCCTCCCCAGCACAGCCCTACTGCTTCCTTTCCTCTAGTGCCTACTGGGCTTATTGCAAAGCTGATGTAACTCCCAGTGAAAAGCTACACTTTGTTTTGGGCTCATATTATAAACCGAAGTTTGTACTGTCTACAAAGACAGTAATTTGAATAGTTTTCAATTTACTCTGAGCATACTGAGACCAGCCAGCGCTCCAGCCCGTGTAAGGTGAGCAGTGGGAGCAAACTGCAAAGATCCAAACCTCGCTTTTTTCAAAGGCGGTGGGATGCTGCGTGTCATCCCATGGAACTGCAGCCTCCAGCCCAAACAGATCGTTTACTTTTACACTTGAACACACACACTTGTTTCTACGCTCTAGTTTTGACCTCCTTGAAGATAAGCAGGCAGTGGGTCTGGCCTGCCTTCTTCCTATGACTGAAACCAGAATGATGTCTCCCATAGTGAAGCTGTTAGAGACATCCCACCCAAACCAAGGATTACACTTTCTCTGTTCTATTACATAGGGACCATTGGTCCCCATACGAGTTTGGGAAAGTCAAGGACCTCTCTAGGTTAATACAAATATGCTCCATACAGCATTTTTTCACACGCCTTGGGATCTTTCAGTGCCCTCACATGCTCTACTGCTCCCACTAACAATTGGTTGTCCTCATTAACCATGAACTGTGGGCACTTTGTTCCCCCAGCTTCACCCCTGCTTTCAACTGCTCCCCTGTGGCAGAGGCTCTGCATCCTGCTGCCCTCCCGACCCATTGCCCAGCTCTGATTTCAGTGCGTCAGCTGTTCCAGCGCAAAGGAGCGACGCAAGCTGGGAACACAGCGACTGCCACCTTCCAGGAGCAATTCTTCCAAAGATCTGCTAACAACAATGAAAAGTTTAGTTTGCTACCTCTTCCAAAAGCAGAGGCTGAGTTACCTCTTCTCTCCGCGTTTTTCCTTTCTGATTTTTAACACAGTTTCTCGGTACTGCCTACAGCATTTCCTGACATTTTGGAATTAAACAGATGCAGCATTTAATACTTATTTTCAATCCCAGAAATGTCACCCAGTTGAGTTTAAGCTCCTGCAGGGTTAGCTCCTCACAGCCTTTTAAATGCTGCTTTGTTTTAGCTCCTGCCTTCTCTTTGCATATTCATTGACTCACTCTGGGCTTAAGTATGTCCTCAACTCCATCCAAAAGTGAGGTTAACACCAGTGTTCAACACCTCTAGAACTGCTTTTAAAACCTGACAAGTAGCAGAAAGCAGCAGCCTACAGTTCACAAGTATTTTACAAGTGCCAGGAAAATCTTACCAGGAAACAATCTCTCCTAACAGCCAGGCTCAAGTTTTAGGAAAGAGTTAAAAGAATTTACATCGTATAACTGCTCATCTGAAAACTAGTGGGACGGCAAGACTACAGAACAACCAGCCTTATGTAACCCATTTAATATTGCAGCTGGATAGGAAATGGGAACATTCCAGCCTGGTCAGCGGGTTCACTACAGACTGTGTTGATTAACAAAGGGAAAGTAGGTATGCTAAGGTGTAGTTCCTGCAAGATTTTGGGGAAGGATAAACTTCAGGAGCCTGGAAACTTACTGGTTATCTCTTTAGGTACACTACAGGAGTCTGCCCTTGGAATGCTATTTGCTCAATTACAATAACTGCTACCATTTCCTCCTCAGCAGTTCACCCTGTGGCCCCTCTACAGTGGCATCTGGCCATTTTTCATCCCCTGATGACTCACGCAAGTCACCGCTCTCCATAATCCCCTGCCCTCTACAAACACATACTATCACTCCCCCTTTACCAATACAACCGGTCTTCCTGCGCGTTAGTGGATGGATTTGAGAGGACAGGTTTACACACACAGAATTTAAGATCTTTGTTACTTAACGAGTACGAGAGAACTGTTCTTATTTGACAAGTCAATCCAAGTGGGAAGTGAAAGGATTTGCTGTAATCAGTTCTCAGAAAGTAAGATGATATGTACTGCTCAGTCCCACGTGTAGCTCAAGAGGTTGGCTGGAAAGGCTGGCTGGAGAACTGCCATGTCCGCTTTTCAAATCCCAAACTATAGTAAGGTACCAAAGAACAGAAAGCTCAAATCACTAAAGAATTCTGAAGTTCTAAATTATCCACTTCTTTCATCTTGCCATTGCCTCGTCCAAGTATTTTATGAATTGTAGTTTACCATAGAAAAAGTACAAAAAGCCAGCGTGCTCAGTAGCAGTTACATAGTCCTGAACTTGCTCACAGAAGCAATAATTGGGACAGAAAGTTTAAGGAGAATTACCCGCTGCTTTCCCCCAGCTCTCAGTGTCGACTGTCTGGCCACGCAGATGTTATTTGGTAATAAAGCATAAAGGCAAAGACTGCCAGAGACTACTTCCAGTCTCCCCCAAAGCATCTCCACCTTTGCCAGGCTATTAATGAACACTTGCCAGGAAACAGTGACAGAAATGGCTAAGGCATCCCTGCTTTTAATTAACCACATATCACGGGGTGGACGGGGGGATGGACAGTGCTTGAAACACTCTAAAGTAGGTAAATATTTGCCTGGAATTGCACAGGATTGACGGGTTTGAACCAGGTAGTTCAGGAGGTTTATTTCCTTCCAACAGATGCAAAGCAGTTAGAGGGGTATCTGGCAAAGTCCCGAAATTAAGAGAGATGCACGGGATGTCATAAGAGGTATTATTTGACACAACCTTCTCCCCAGCACTCTTCTGCTATATTTAGTAAATGGAAGCTTATATGAAGGACTCGTGGAAAAAAAGACCCTTTAATAATAACTAGTATTTCCAGTTAGAAGCAATGGGGCTGGGGGACACGGAAAATTCTTTCAGGCACCAGACAAGGAGAGCCAAAAGTTATAAAAATATTACTTACTATACATTAGGGTTGTCCCAGCAACACAAAACCAACCATAACATTATGAAGAGTGGAAAAAAAAAAAGCAACACTAAAATTTTTACAACGACAGCCTTTCTTCCATAGCACTGCTTCAATCTCAGTTGACATTCAGCCACAGTCCACTGCAATGGAAGCATCGATCATGTCCTCAGATAACGAGGACAGCACATCACTGCTGCTTTTCTTTTGAAGGCATATTGTATCACGTAGCTCAGAACTTTAAGTCTGCAATGATCTTTTTCTATATTTCAATAAAAAGGAGACTTCAACTCAACCAAAATAAAGACTTCTCTAAATTGCTTTCCTTTTCACTCTTGTCTCCTTACAGGACATCTTTTCCTGGCCCTTGAACTGCAGAGGTATCTGCTGTGCACTTATTGCTGGATTTACACAGTCACGTGTATTCTCATGTGAACTGGAGGTATTCCTTGGCATTCTTGACCCAACCCGACAGGGCTTGGCTACGCAGCACTTTCCAGGCTTCTTGATAATTTAACGCAGCTTCCTTGTAGTCCCAGTAGGTTTCTAGGGTCTTCATCCTGACAGAAAATGCACAACAACGAAAACATTTCCATTATCCTATTGGATGTAGTGTCACAACATGAAAAAAAAGCAATCAAACATCTAAGAACATGATGATGCCCTATGAGCTCTTTCATGCTACTAAGTGAAATTCTCTTGAGGTTCTAGGGAGACTTGGAAGGACCCAGGCCCTGAAGCTACTGTATGTAGATGTTTGTCAGCTGCCTTACAGAAGGAAGCAAACCAACTCCTCTGCCATGCTTCATGCACACTCTCCTCCAGAAACAGAAGTGTCAGTGTCTGACTGTATGAATACAGGTTTCAGAAAACTTCCACGATAGCAAAAAAATATGAAGCAAAGCAGAAAAGGTGGGTAGAGATAGGTGCTTTGAATTGGGTGAAAGTAGCCTTGTTTTGCTAGAAGAATGAATACGATTGCTGTCTGGAAGGGAAGGGGGGACAAGGATGAACAGGATAGTTTTTCTTTTCCAACACAAAATAATGGAGAAGAGCGTGACAGAAGAGGAAATTTTTTTTTTAATCTTCTCCCTAAAGCAAAAGAGACTCGGCAGTTTTGGTGCTCTGTTCCCTTTCCTCACATAGCACCTGCTCTCCCCAGTCTCAGCAGAACCATTGGTCACTCAGCTGAGTGCATTATACCACTGATTTTCAAAACAGGAAAATTCAGGTCCAGAGTATCTGAACACAAGTGCCTCGAAGGCAATTTCATCAAGACTTTTTCCCCTTTCTTTGCATTCCTTTCCCAGACTCTGCTGTCTCCCTTTGCCAAACAGTCTGTCAGCCACATGTGGCACGGAATGTTTATACATTCGATTGAATAAGAAGGAAAGATCATAAGCAACATGACCTTGATCAAGAAAGAGGAAGAGCCAAGCTGCTACAGCAACCCTAAACTAAAAGAAATCTGAGAACTACTGCACTAACTTCCAGAACAGGCTTTCACGCTCAAAGGCGATATTGATCACCACTACCACCACTCCCCAAAAAAAACCCCCAACAGATCACAAAAAAACATAACAGCAATCAGAAGCTGTATTTCAGGCATTCAGCATTCTGCTATAAATGTATTTCTAGAGCACAGTGACATACATAGCAAGCCATGAGATATTACATATCCTGCAGACCTTAGGTGACCAACCTCCGAGCTGCTCTGGAAAGCAGGGACTCCCACAGAAGGGCTCACTGCAACTCCACTCCACCAGGCCAGTGAAGAGTCACAGAACCCCCATTAATGGTGGATCGTGGTTTAGGAGCATCACTGAACAGGCAAAAGAGCAGCAACTACGTGCATAAGCAGCATTCAGGAAACACCACAGGTCCAAGAAGGGCCAAGGTCAACCCACCACAACCAACTCCAAATCTCTAGCATAAGCAAGCTGTTCCTCTCCCGGGTACTCCAATAAGTACCTCAGACACAGGACAAACCACCTGCACCTTCTCCTCCACCTCAAAACCATTCTCTGAGGAGCAATACGTGTACTTAGACTCAAGGTTAATGACCAAATCATTCTTTGGGAAGAAATCCTCTTACCCTAGCATGCTTCTTGCACTTAAAGTACGTCTGACATACTTCTTTAAGATTTTGACCCTTTCCTTCACTATAAATGCATCTAATCACTTATACTTGTCCTTTATCATATAATAGCTAATATGAGATGCTGTTTACATCTTCAAAACGCAGGTACTTGTACTTATAAGGTCACATTTAGGATGGTCAAAGATCCAAAAAAAAGAATTCTATGACACAGATCTTTGGACTGCTTCAATCTTGTTAAAGGTGAAACAGCTGTTTCCCTTGCATTTGTTGCAGATCCAGATACAGATAAATGTATTCCACCTGCCACTAAGCCAAGAGAAAGATTCCAATGCCTAGCTGTTCTTCATTTCTTCCTTGCTAAATTTTGCTATTTTTACTAAACCTGCTGGCAATTCAATAGCTCTTCAGCTCATATCCGGCAGTCTGATTCAATTTAACTAAAACACATATGGGATTTTTCTAACCTAGATTACTCCAACAGACCTTTGTTTGGAAACTGTTATAGCAGACAGTAAGGGAAAACATAGCTAGCACAAAAGCTGATAGACAATTAGGAGCAGCTCAGTATTTTCCCTCTTGTAGCAGCTTCCAGAGCACGTGTGACCGCAGCCTCTTAGTGTCTCATTCTCCAAGCAGACAACATCACTACATGATTTAACAGTGGATGCAACAGAAAACTACATTTTAATCAGCTTCCCAAATAGCTGCCAAACCAAACAGATCTATTGAATTCATGCTCAACTTCTGCATTCAGCTTTTAAGAAATTTTCAACATCTACACAAGAAAAATGCTTTCAAATTCAAAGGACAATACATTCGGCTAAGAACCTCACATGATTTGACTGTATCTCAGTTTTGGTTTGGCCATTAATGCTCTGGGCATTAGTAATGAAGAACCTGTGACATTTTTTTGGCAGAAGTGAACACTATTTTGCTGCCCGAGGCTAAGTCCAGTACAATCATACAATCTCCAGCCTATCCAGGTCTGTCTGACTACATTCCTTTTGTGTTTTCTTTTACTGTTTCAATCTTGCCCCTACGCTACTGTGTAAGAGAGACAGAGTGGTTCCGATGGGTGTGTGCCAGAGACATCAGAGGTGATCCACAGATTTCATTCTGTAAGGTATCACACTCTTGGAAAAAGCCTTAAGCAAAACAACATTATGCTTAAAAACATTGTGTGCTCAGCCTTGTGCAAAGCTGAGCAGAAATGGGCTCACAAGCAAGGCAGCCTGCAAAGAAGAGCAATACGCTGCTACGATACATCCCTCGCGGCAACAAACCCTACCTTTAACCTCATATTCAAACATGTACATTCAACCCACAATGCACTTTTGAGATTACAGACATATCACACATGAAAAATGTTGACGTAAGCACAAAGCATCAACCAAAACGTTACTCTTGTGCAAAAATTAATAAATCGCATCTGAGAGGGCAAAAGCTCACAGATCTTCAGAATACAAAAATCTGTTGTGAATCCGTAACGATAGGGGCTCTGGAAACCATACTTAGCCTCATTCTATTACTATCTTCTTCTATTAGTATCTTCTTCAGTGCTTCAGATAAAATGCAGTCATTGCAGGCAAACTCGGTAATTGACACCAGTTGTTAAGAAGATACAGAGCAAAGTCCCAGGACGAGTTAACTCCATGAGTGAGTTCCACTCAAATATAAGTTTTAACAGTAATGTAAGGTTTTGCAGCATTTGGAAGATTGTTACGGCATTGCTGTACCTAGTTTGGAAGACCAGATTTTCAAAATGGTATTGAAAAATTGGCAAATGAGCTTTGTGGCTTTTTCCAATGTTATCTGAGATGCGGAAAAAATGAATCACATAAAGGGAGAGATGTAGAAGCTCAACAGAGTAAACAGTCAAAAAAATAAAGATCAAGTCTTGAGATAATTATGACAGAAAAGTATTTTCATGGGGCAGAAAGTAGTACTTAATAAAAGGTTCTTCAATCTGGCAAAGACCTAACATGCATCTGACTCACAGTATAGAAAAGGTTTTCTTAGATCAGAGGACCTAACTGTCCTGCAGGCCTCTCTGCAGTCACAAGAATTGTTTAATGTACACACTTTAAAATGAAAATTGAGAAGGGACCAGAAAATTGCAACAAAATGTTTGCCAAATGTGGTTGGTTTATTTGCAATTGGAGAACAGCCATAACAGTGAAACTGCCCCTCTCCCAGAACAGTGACGTTCATTAGGCCGACACTTCTTTACAATCATCCTCAGCCACTCCAGCAGGAAATATTTAGTGGTCACCTGGCCGAATCCTTTTGTTTTTCACAAGTGAACGCTGGCAAATAGCCTTAAATATGAAGCCCAAACAAACATTCTATACTTCAGTCTAGATATTTAAGTCTTAAAGCCATCTGAACGTCCCTGCACTGCTCTGTACAACTGCCCGCCCCCTCTAATTAGGTGTCACTGGAATTGGAATTGTCTGTACTGCAGACTGAATGAGAAATTGGAAGAAAACACAACCTGAATTATGATGGCTCCCAACTACAATTTATGAGAAAAGAGGATCAGTCATCCGTTTAACAAGCCCAGCAAGAAACTCAAGGCAGGTTTATGTTACAAAGTTTGCCTTAGATTCAAACAAAGGACTGTGCAGCCAGCCACACCTTGCACAAAAGAAGGATTTCAACTTCTCAGGTGATGAACAAGGCATGGGTTTTCCTACCAGCAGAGAAAAAAAAACCAAACAATGTAAAGAACTTCCTTTGCCATATTACCACTAAGTGATCTGCAAACAACAGTAATACTGCAGAAGTTTTTACACAACAGTTTGGATTAGCAATGGCACAACACGGCCCAACAGTGTGTCACTGTTCCTTTGACAGTGAGCATGGAAAACATGACAAGAAAAAAAGAGATTAATTTATGTACAATTCATTTCAAAACATTAACACAATGGGAATCAACAGAAAAGAATGAAGCATGGCAGGTGAAGGTTAAGAGGTTATAAAGAAACAACATTTTAGATAGACTAGCTAGAGAGATGAGTGAGAATTTAAGTAAGGCACAGGAGATGGAGAACATAGATTTTGTCAGAAAGGAAGAAAGAAAGTGGGACAGCACAATACAGCCCTATCGGTTCTTGGTGAAGGAGTAGCTAATGCCAGCCAAACACCACCTTCTCACAGTCTCAGCTAAAAGCAAATAAGCTAAATCCTGAAAAAGCCCCAACTGCTGAATGTTATGCTTAACATCTTAGCTAAGCTACACCACCACAAATTCCTAAATGCATTTTAGGAGAGGTGGCAGAGTTCTGCCCTCAGTATGCTCTCTACCTGTTCCAATTGAACAGTGCCTGTGCTGATCCTTTGGAGAGAAGTAAAGAATGAAGAAGAAAGGAAGGCACAAAAAAACAGGAGAAGCAGCTTTAGACACAGGAAAGAATAAAACAAAAGAACATCAGGATCAGTATACTAGTTCAACATGAAGCTTTAACTGCCCCCATATCCTAAGTCTGACAGTGGACAACAGCATAAATAAAGCATGATGCTTGTCCTAATATACCCTACAACTATCAAGACAAACCGTTCAGTAAATCTGAAAGGACTATAGAATGAGATTCCCTTGATGGAGCAAAATGATGGGAGGCAAGAGACCAAAAAGTGGACTAGAAGAGGTAGGGCAGAACTTAGGGGCAAAGTGGGAAAAGGAAACTGGGCAGCAGTATAGCACTAGAGCCAACATTTGTGGGAGGAGATAACAAGATACATTTTAATGGGAAGAAAATACTAAACTGGGTAACAGTTAAAGGCACAGGAGTTTAGAGGAAACAATGAGAGAATTTCTTATCTGAAGTCCACTTGAATTCAGATCACAAGGAGGAAAGGAAGAAAAAGGAAGAAAACATATCAGAATATTGTGTAGAAAGGGAAAGAGAAGGAGGAGGAAACAGCAATAAAAAGCAAAATAAAAAATGTCTTTGTAAGTAAAGAGTAGGAAAAACAAAGACTTCAAAGGAAAGCAACTGGACAAGCTGACTGGTGAGCTAGCACCTCTACTGTATAGAGTTTGTGCAGCCTAAAAATGATGCCACATCTGCAGATCAGCTGGACTTTGTCAGGAGAAGCCCAGACAGAAAAATGGTAGAGGACAAAAAAGTCAAAGGAAATTACAAAGCCACTGGAGTCCAGAAAAGCCCTGAGGTGAAGTAACTTTATGTAAGCAGCACATGATCAGCACAATGAATCACCTACCCAACACTGCACCAGCTCACACTCTACCCAGAGAAAAATATAACGGCTAAACGAGTGAGGACAACCTCCCACCCAAAAGAGGCTAATAATTTTATATTTAAAACTGAATTAAGAAGAAAGTGTATCTCTACTTATCCATTGAAACAATTCCAGCAATAACATGGCTCATGTCGACATGAGAACTTTAAAATAGTTATGAGAAACTTCTACAGACACAGAAGGTAACTGCAATCTTTAATTCACAAAACTCAAAAGCAAGCAAGATCCAATAATTAGAGAACCAGGGTGCGCTTACTTTGGCTAAGTTCATCTCATCTGATGTCTCAGTAACATGAAAAGCAGAAAGGAGCCAATTCAGCTCATTACTTCGAGAGAAAACACAGAAGACAAGGAAATTGTTTTCTGCCACATTAGCTAGTTGAACTGCCTCACCATGAAGTTGGAAAGTGCTACAGACAGAAGAGAGAAAACAGGAATCTACAGCCAGTAGCAGCAGAAACTGCTGCAGGGCCATCCCCAGCAGCAGCTACGAGCAGTTAAATTAGCTCAACAGCTGGTATAACTGCATCCCAGAGCTGGTGAAATCATACCTGGAAATAAGACTAAAATAAAATAAACTTTCCAAGGCAATGCATTTGGAACCTTCTGCATCTCTCAGAATCTCTAAGACAAAGTGAGAGGTAAGTTTCTGTGTATATGAAGCTATGCCCTGCTCTATGGTAGCTATTTGGGCTGCAACACCACCAAATACGTAATGCACGTAATGAAATGCCAGAACAGATGACTACCACAAGAAACTCCAGTCTGGTAAACAAAATTTGTTTCTAATAATGTAAAAGAAACCTCCAAGTATGTCTTCCTCACACAAAAGGTTCTTTACGTTTTTTCCAGAAAGCCTCCATCTATGCAATATACGTATTGCAGAAAGAGCCCTACACACTATCTCACCTTACTAGCTCTTACTCCATACACTCAGATGAAAAAAAACTTCAGCCTAGACTTTTCTAAAATTTCTTTTTTAATCAAACCCTTCTTGTGAAACAAAGTAGTGGCATTTGATATAACTACTAAACACCAACCAGGTATCAATAATGCCATGGCAATTTTGGGATGGGGGGGTTTGAAAGCCATCAAGGGTACAAAGCTGCAGGCAGATGATCTAAGAGTTTCCATTTTCAAAAACGTTACTACTTCCTCCTCTCACCTCCCTCTCCACTCCTTCCCCAGCTGTTCACCAGCACTTTCAAACACCACTTTAACCCAGGAAAAAACCCCAAAAAGTAGGGTTTTCTGCCAAGATAGCAAGTTGAAGAGGCTCCCAGAGGTATCCAGTAGACACCAGATGTCTCAGTAACATGAAAAGCAGAAAGGAGCCAATTCAGCTCATTACTTCGAGAGAAAACACAGAAGACAAGGAAATTGTTTTCTGCCACATTAGCTAGTTGAACTGCCTCACCATGAAGTTGGAAAGTGCTACAGACAGAAGAGAGAAAACAGGAATCTACAGCCAGTAGCAGCAGAAACTGCTGCAGGGCCATCCCCAGCAGCAGCTACGAGCAGTTAAATTAGCTCAACAGCTGGTATAACTGCATCCCAGAGCTGGTGAAATCATACCTGGAAATAAGACTAAAATAAAATAAACTTTCCAAGGCAATGCATTTGGAACCTTCTGCATCTCTCAGAATCTCTAAGACAAAGTGAGAGGTAAGTTTCTGTGTATATGAAGCTATGCCCTGCTCTATGGTAGCTATTTGGGCTGCAACACCACCAAATACGTAATGCACGTAATGAAATGCCAGAACAGATGACTACCACAAGAAACTCCAGTCTGGTAAACAAAATTTGTTTCTAATAATGTAAAAGAAACCTCCAAGTATGTCTTCCTCACACAAAAGGTTCTTTACGTTTTTTCCAGAAAGCCTCCATCTATGCAATATACGTATTGCAGAAAGAGCCCTACACACTATCTCACCTTACTAGCTCTTACTCCATACACTCAGATGAAAAAAAACTTCAGCCTAGACTTTTCTAAAATTTCTTTTTTAATCAAACCCTTCTTGTGAAACAAAGTAGTGGCATTTGATATAACTACTAAACACCAACCAGGTATCAATAATGCCATGGCAATTTTGGGATGGGGGGGTTTGAAAGCCATCAAGGGTACAAAGCTGCAGGCAGATGATCTAAGAGTTTCCATTTTCAAAAACGTTACTACTTCCTCCTCTCACCTCCCTCTCCACTCCTTCCCCAGCTGTTCACCAGCACTTTCAAACACCACTTTAACCCAGGAAAAAACCCCAAAAAGTAGGGTTTTCTGCCAAGATAGCAAGTTGAAGAGGCTCCCAGAGGTATCCAGTAGACACCAGAGAAGGAAAAGGCTTCACTGATCAGGAACACAGTTTACCCTTTTGAAAAGTAGTCAGTCTTCAAAGAGACCAGCTGCCTCCAATTCTTACTTTCACTCCCAACAAACCAACCACCTGCAATTTCTTCTGTCTGTCATTAACACATGAGATGCAGTAGGTATTTCTCCAAGGAGGTGACTAAAAAGACCACAAAGAGTCCCCCTAGCCCATCCTGCACATGCTGTATTTTTCAAGTATCAAATTTTAACAATGAACTTATCTAAAGTGAGATTCATGTGCAGCTTCTGCTATCATCACAGTATTCTTGAGTTTTATTAAGAAAAATTCACTCTTCTAAATATAACGGAAATGTCTTTACCGGAGAGTGTCTGGTAGATCCTCTTGTGAAATACTTGTCACCAGCTTTTGGAATGTATGGAAGAGTTCCACTTTACAGATCTTGGATCTGATGGAAGAAAAAAAAAAAGAAAAAAGGAAATCAGAAATTCTGATCGAAAATATAAATTAGAAATGCGCTTCCTCTTACAGCCCACAGTAGTACAACCCAGCTGAACATTTTTTATAAGAAAAATTATGTTCACTTCTCAACAAATATAAAGGGTTACCCACAATTTAACTTTTCCCACCCCACCTAAACTGCCCACCTGCCTTTTCCCTTCATTTTAAATGTTTCATTGACAAAGAGCTGCATTGCCCCCATTGTCCAGCCAACACTGCAGAAAGAACACCTGAATATCCCCACATTGTTATCTGTGTGAGACTGCACCTTCATCAGCTCACAACTACAGCAAGGCTGAGCCAGAAGGACTAGTCCCAGAACTGATCATACAAGCACAGAAAGACTTCAAAGGCTTGTTCAAATTGGCAAACTTTCTGTTATTCAGAACAAATAAGAGAAGCAGCAGAAATACCTGGAACAATGCTGTCCTATTCACAATGGTGACCAGGACACATTCAGCAACAGCTGCAGGGCAGCTAGTACAAAGAGGCTTATCAAAAAATAAAGTGAGGCAAAGCTTGAAAGGTCTTTTGAAAATACCATATGCATCTCTATTAACGTTAAGCCCTCTTCTTCCTCCAAAAAGAAGGCAACCAGAACAGCTGTTTATAAACCAGGGTTTGGTTTTGAAAGCCCCAGCTATTTTCTCTAATTAAATTCTCTTTATACACTTGCCTTCACAATGACTGATTCAGTTCTCCAGCATGTGCAAGCTGATTCTCCAGAAGCATTGAAAAAAACACCAATCACAAAAAACCTTTCTATTTTGCTAGCATGTTCTTTAAGGACCCCAAAATTGGCATGCGAAGATGCTTTAAGATTTCACCTTCATGTTAATCCGTCAAAGGTTCATATTCCAGGTTTCGGTGTTTTAGTTAATTAAGCATTAACAAAAGCACACATCAGACATTTACCTACAAATTCCTTTTAGTCAGTCAGCTTTACCTTCTTTGATACTTAGTGTTATCTGGCATATTGAGGGAGGAAAAAAAAAAAGCACCCCAAACAACACCCCCCACCAAATCACCCTGACATTTCTTGAGGGGGAAAAAAACCAAGGTGGAAATACAAGTCTTGTTTATTGTTAAACACCCCCCCATAAGGCTGTAAATTCCTTATTTTCATGATAAAAGTTCCTTTTCCGACCATTTATCAGGGAAGTGTAAATGGTTTACTTCTTCCTTGACATCATCTTTAATCCTGATTTCCTAAAGAAACACAACCTTTGCAATCACACAGTCTTGTTGGCCCTCTTTAATAACTTTGGAATGCCTTAGTGAATTTCGAGTACACGTTAAAAAAAAAAAGAGAGGAGGATCTCTCAAATAATTAAGTTCCTACAGTTTTGTACAAACTGGTAGGTAGTAGATGGCTCTAAACATTTAGAGCTGGTACACAAATGCAACGTAATAAATTGAAGCCCACTGTTGTTTCATCTTTCATGTGTCTTCTGGAATACCTTACACATCACATACAGAATACTAATATTTTACAGTGCACAGAAAGTCTGTTTCAAAAGACACACCCAGTCACTCAGGTCACCTGTGCTAACAATATACCAGACACCAATACTGGTCACAAACAACAAAGCTCCTGGTCCTCTTCTTTCCAGGGGAAAAAAAATCAGGAAATACTAGGATATACCAGGATAAACTTAGTCAAGTCAGGCCTAACTTCAAGAAGTGGAGAATGCACAACTTGCAGACGTGAATGAATTCTCCACAAGAACTGTCTAAGCTCTACTTATTTTATTCACTACTGTCAGGATTATCTTCTTTCTCCCAGAAAGTCTGGGAAAAATGAACAATATGACCATCGATAAATTGGTAGTATAAGTAGCCAACAGTCAAAATATGACCCCAACCCTCAAGCTGAGCTTCCACAGGCCAATAATAATTTTGGTCACCTCACCTAAAATGAAGAAAGTGGAGAGAGATGGAGAAATTTGTGTGCAGATGTTTACAAGCAATTTCTTTCAACCACAAGAAAAATACGTAACTGTTTCTTTAAATATTAATAGCTGATAGAAGATTATGATGTTTATTAAAGAGCACAGTGTCAAGACTACAATCGGCAAGGTGACACGTTTTGTGTTAAGAATCTGCTGCAAGGATTTCATAACATTATCAAAGCTGAAGGCAAAGAGGCACATTGCAAAGCAACTCTTTTAACAATCATACAACCAGGTCAGCTGGCCTCTTACCGAAAAAGAAATCTGTAAAAAGAGAACCTGCACCACACACATTTCCTTCAGTCATCAACCCAAAAGATACGAAGCAAAATTTTTGCTAACTTCACCAATTAATAAACTGTCTTTTAGTAAAAAATTATCTTGGTCTCCTACCACCATTGTCTACAATGCTCTCTTTAATCAACAGCGACAAAGAAATAGGATAAACTTGTTAATCCTCATTGAACTTTTGTCATTCCAACTCTCCCTTACCCAGGAACTCTTCCTTACCCCACATTCCCTCCCCTTCCTCCCACTCCCTTGATTTCTTTCTGCTCTGACAAGGCACTACACACCACATGAGCTGACAGAGGCACATGTGCTAACAAGATATATACATCCAGATATCACAATATTCTCACACCTGCTCTGATGGCTCCCAATCGCCTTCTTAGTTGTTCCCTGCCGGAAGCCATCTGAGGTGACATCCAGAGGTTGCTCAGGGACTGCACTCCAACTGATAGCTGTAGAGGAAAGGATTACGAATAAGGGAGGTGCTGTTATCACAAAAGAACAACTCAACAGTTCCTTTCATTGTATGTCTTCATATGATCCCATGCTGCTTCCCAAAATAATTCAAGCTAGAAGAGGAGCATGGCTCTCTAGGGCCAGGATTCCAGTACTTAGAAGAACAGGTAAATTCTGTTGAATTAAAAAAAAAAAAAAAACACACATATACAGAGCTTTCATCTTAATCGGGTCCTTCAAGAATCTATGCCTCTAAATATTTGGCCTCCAGCTTTGTAATTGTCTCCTTTTTAGGGGGATTCTGCTTCCTTTTGTACATCCTGTCCTGACAAAGAATCAGGCTATGAAGTACTCCCCCAAGCTACTTGTACCAGTCACTCTATGTTTTCCTTAATAATTTATTGTGGGGTATTATTTTATTGTGTATTGTATACTCCAAATAGTTTTGTGTTTGATAACTGGCATACATCAAGTATCTCTAGACTTTAATTGAAAAATGCTGTTAACTAGTAGTCAAATAATAATAATTTGTTGGAAGACACAGCAAGTGCCAACCACCTTATTCTTTACCCCATTCTTGTCACCTTATTACCATCATAGACTGCAAACTTCTTAACACTGAAACTCTGCACACCATACCTTATAGATTTACAAACAGCTGGCAAAGCACCAGTAGCACACTAACAGAAGTAAGAACTGATTGACATGCCCAGTCTGTCCTTCCATAGCCTAACAACAGCTCCTTTAACTTCTACTCCCATGAGACAATTTTTGTTCCCCAAGTTCTCCCATTTCTCTGTGTTCCTAACAGCCAAAACCACTGTATGTACATTATCTCTAAAGACAATTGTCACAGCTTCTCTCCTCCTCCATGATACCATCTTGCCATTCAAGATGCTCAAAGGTACATATTATAAAGTGTATTATGGAGACCGGTTATGTTAATCACATTTGCATTATAATTCAGCTGTATGCTGCAACTGCTGTACTCTGCTAAGTGTGAACCATACTTGCATTTTGATTTAGGTATAATGCTGTATCACTCTAGTAATTAAAATCCTGTGTGACATCAAATAACATTAAATACATGCAACTAGCATTAAACAATAAACCTTCCATGTGTGGAGTATCTAAAACCACCTGGTCAGGAGATACCAGATTCTGACAAGCAGACAAAAATTTACTTGAAAATGAAAACATTTGCTATTCTTTTAATTCTTCATAGTTATCACAAACTTCAAAATATTAAATGGAACACGTTTTTCTCTTTAAAAATACCAGTTAACATGTTCCTATCAAGCAGCATATTTCAATACTCAGCATAACAGCCCTGAATTTAGAGTTTATTCTATTTTCACCTCTTCAAGAAAAAAAAAATTAAAAAAAAAATCAACCTAACCTAATTCATACAGGCAAAAAAGTGTTATAAAGCATCTTTATTTAACATAAATATTTGAGTAACTGTACAGAAAGAAAGGCATACACAGAATTTAGTCACAGTTGGCTTCAGATCTTTTTTGCTAAGTGAACTGGCACCATTTTTCAATGATGGATTTTGTTTCCTATCTCACAGAATCAAAATCTTTTCCTTCCTGGCACCTGTAAATAACTCCAATTTAATGAATCTGAATTCCATTAAGGAACCCTTTGTTTCTATTCCATTTTATCATCAGCTCTACTGTAATAGAATAACCTCCAGTTCCAGTTACGCCAGAAAAAAAGTATACAACAGCAGAAGGTAGGCATGTCCAAGTTTAAAGAAACTCTTTAACCATACACATACAGTGGCAGTTCCATTGGGTTTTTTTTTTACCCAAATGAGACCATGTTGCTAAATCAAAACGTGACTTGCATATTCATTCATCGCCATGACAAAAAATGCAATGTCCAAAATCTCTATCAATTAAACCTTTACACTGTACTACTCTGTATTCTTTCTACGTTCACAGATTTCTGGAGCAATTACAAGTATAACTCAGCATGTCAAGTATTCTCTTCGTTACCAAGGAGAATCTGAAACTAACCAAAACAAGAAGTCTTTTGATATTTTTGTTTTCTTACTGCCCTCAGAACTTTTGCTCTCGCTGGCTGTTTTCTGTCTTTGTTCAGATTATACATTCTTAATGACATCAACCAAGTGTTTATTCAGTCTGAAAACTCCCTACAGGAAACTAGAGGCTGAGCTGAATATTATTAATTATTAACAATTACGTTCTGGCCTGAAATTTATTTAATGCTGTAAGTCACACTTTGCCTCTAGCGCTGGCAATGAATGATGTTCCATTTATAGGAAACCATTAAACCCACCTGTTTGGACTTTTGCACACAGTTACGCAACTAGCCCAAGAGAACTCACCTGCACTACACGGAACAAGCTTTATTTTGCTGTTAGCTTGAACTTCCTGAATTGCCTGGCGGCTGTGTTCAAACCCACGATCCGACTGCAGCAGCTTAACCTCCTGAGCGAGAAAACCATCCGGTAAAAGTGAGATGTGCTGACACCTAAAGTAGACACGGAAAAATGCAAGTCGTTTTAAGTCTGGTCTTCCCAAACAAGCCCATTTTGTGCAATTTCCCTTCGTAATCTAAAACATGTTACTTTTACGTTAGAACTGAACGTGAATTATAGAAGACAGACAATGAGGTCTGAGGACATTTTTCCCTTCAAAAAAGTATTTGTTAAAAAAACAAAGCCACACAGTTTACTAAGACCTTGTCCATCCCAGAAAAATAACAATTAATTTATTTTTAAAATGTTCTAGCTAAAAATAGTATAATCAATGGAGATAAAGTACACAGGATAAAAATTGTAATATACTTCTGCAATCAAAAATAAAAATAATAATAATAATCAAGTATTTACATAGTCAATCATATTAAATTAGAAACTTTTAGTTAGCATTACACACCAAATGTGTTTAGAAACATATGAGGAGGGAAAAATGGCATATGTTTAATAATCATAATATTTACATAGAGCACGAATGAATTAAGACTGAGTTTCATATTGTCAGATGTCTGACTTTGCAACCTAAGACGAATGAGGCTGGGCAAATTCTTGTCCCATGTGTTATGGAGTGAGCAACAGATGATCCAGGAAGCTCCTCTGGAGAGGTAGCTAGAGTTTCCCCTATTAATATACTATGACGTCTTTTGTAACCATCCTAGAAGGATGCAAGGCTATGAAGAAAAGGAGTTATTAAAAGTCAAACTTTTCAGATGAACTGGTCTAGTAACCGCCTCTCAAAGGGAGTGGTTCAGCTCCCAAGTTTCTTTCTTGTTCTCCTTTCCCTCCACTCTGCTTAATTCCATTTACTCTTCTCTAACGCTTATGGATTCCTTTGTTGCACTGATTCAACCTCTGCACATCCAAATGAGTGTGAATGTAAGTGGTGGAACAGACCTATGAGAGGTATTAGCTCACATGCAAGTTTTAAGTGTCCCAGAAGCACAAAGTTTTGCTCAAAAAGCAACAAAGTGACAATTAACACTAAATGAAACAAGCCTTGACAAGAAATCATGACTTTATCTGGTTGTCAAATATCATTTGGCTTTCTAAAACTAAATGTACTTCCCCACTGCACAGCAATCCTGTGTTAGGTCTAGAGCTCAGTTTCTGTGGGCTGGGCAGCACACCTGAAGGGACACGATACAGTAAAAGCTTTAGAACAGCAGTTTTCAAAAACCTCTACTGAGAACAGACTGACAATACAATTTTGAAAATTTACACATGGGATGGACTTCTATGCAATAATCTGCAACAACCCGAGTATTAACCTCCTGGAAAATTTTAAGTTGGGATCCAAACTTAGAAGACAGCAATTCCCTTCAAAGAAGTTTAAAATACCACATCTTCTACAAGTCTGAAAGCAGCAAAAGCTTCAGAAGAACTAAGAAGTTTAAGGCGAAGTTATAAAAAGGTCTGCAAGGACAACCAGAAAGACACCCCTTCTGCAGTTCAAAAGCCTACCTATGCATTCATTTGGAGTCATTTCGGTCAGATTGCCTTCAAGATGGATGGATTTTGGGGCTTTTTAGTTTAATTTTAGGAATGGCCCTGCAAGAAATGAAAGCTGCTTTTGCTCACCAACACAATTCTATATAAAGGAACTTACAGATATTCAGAATGACTTTGTGGAGTATGGATAACCAAATAAATTAAAACTTTTCTTGAGCCTGTTTGAGGAAACAAAAGTCAGGAAGAGGGCAAGAAAAATTCGACTTCACTATGCCAAAAAGAGTTTGCATCCTTCCAGCTGCTTTTTCTGCTGGAAGGTTTCTAGAAAAACTCAGGTGGGTAACAGATCCCACTGCTCAGTAAAGGGACAACCAAGGAGACCCTGAACTAATGGACATTCTTTTGTGAATCTTCAAGTCTGATCCATGAGCAGTAGTCACCTTTTCTCCATACTACACAGGGCTACTTTCCAAAAACATGAATTTGCGTAAATTCACATTTTCTGCAGATGCAGATTTCCACTTTGGTGCAAAATCCTGGTATTTGTGTGACACCTGTTGTCTTCCATAATTCATTGTCTCCACACACACTATCTGATTTCCAAAGGAGAGCACTTACCTTTCAATAATTGCTCTCCGCATAGCTTCTTGGCTATATGGGCACTTCCCCACTACAATTGCTGACAGATACACTGGATACTGCAGGAAATGCATCAGAAGAGCTCCTTGACACCCTAACACATTCCAGCGAGCCAGTTTATCACTGCAGGACATAGAGCACGTTCTGTCCCCACGACCCGGCTTCACTCGTAATAATCCCACACAGTGATACCCTACCCCAGGCATTCGGGCATCACCCAGCTCTCCAGGTACACATTTTGCTCCAGTTCTATAGACATCTACTACCTTTGGTCTCCCTAAGCCAGTCTCCTTATTAGCTGTTTGCATCTCGGCAGAATTTGGATCTGCATCATCTTCTCGTTCCACAGATACTTGCTGAACAGCCAGGTCTTCAGTAATTACGGAAAAATAACCATCGTCTGTTTTCATTCTCTTGATTACATCATTACTTGCCATTTTCTCTGATTTCCTTTTATCTTCTGGACCCAAGTGATCATGGTTCCTTCTACACTCTGCCGATTGTTCAGCTGCATCATCTTCAGTCACTGGCTTAGAAAGCTGGTTCTCTGGTTCACTAATTGGAATAATAGAAGCATCTCCACCTAGAACAAAAGAAGTAACATCAAAATTAGCCAAAACCCCATCTCTCATGACTGGAACACATCACACCAGTCATATTATGGCTACCACTAGCTTTCACAGGTTTGCACTCAGGAAAATTTACCTATGAGAACACATTTTTCAAACTACATTGCCCTGTATAATGAGGAATCAGATTTCACTGAAGTGTGAGCTAATATAGGCTTAATTTCAAATTTTGCATTCTACTTACAAAATAATAAACTATTTAAAACAAAAATTATAAAGCAAAAGGTGTCAAAGGCATTTGACAGACTAGAAGCAGTGCTGAAGATGCAGAGGAAAACCAGTCTGATCTAAGTGAACAAGACAAACATCAAAAAAATAATTAAAGAATAACCTATCAAATAACAGTGGAAATTTTAATCTGTATCACTAGAACAGCCCCAAAAATGACATTCTGAAGCTCAGTTCAAAGCAAACAAAGCCTGACAGATCTATGACAAAAAGTCAGTCAGGAAATTATTCTTGCTATTAAATTTGAAGATGTAGATTTTACTCTCGTATTACATTGACGAAGAAAACCATCACAGCATACTCCAGCAATTACCAAAATCACAAAAACACGTAAGCAACTAATTCACTATGCAAAGTACTGATGAGGCATATTTTGAGAGTGCTTAGACTCCTTTGTCCTGGTAACAGACTGGCAGATGAACACCACACCGGTAAGAGTGTGGTAACGTCAAGACGTCTGATAAGCTCATAGACAAAGAAGTCACATTTCTATATTTTGCCAATAGATCCTCATCTTTGTGGTGCTATTTTAAAAAAATATATAAGGAGCATTTTCCATGACAAAATAAAAAGTTGCATTTTGTTCCATAAGAAGTTTTTGGTTGGGGTAGGGGGTGTGGTGTTTTGTGGGTGGGGCATTTTTGGTTGTTTTTCAGTAGTTTGGTTTTGGTTTGTTGTTTTTTTGTCAGAGTATATTCCTGTTTTGTTTCGGGGTTTGCTTTTGTGGGATTTTTTTGGGTTTGTTTTGGTTTTTTGGAACTGTGTTAAATGTCAATGCTTCTTACTAAAATTTGAAGCCAAGGAGATAATGCTTAAAGCAAAGCAACCAGGAGATACCACAGGACCTCTGACAAGCATGTTAGTTTCTGGAAAATAGTAGCCATTACTATTTAAAGTGAAGCATTCCACTATACAAGGAGCAACATATTGAGTTTACTGAGTTCTCAGGAATCGCATCCAGTGAGATAAAATGCCAAATCTATTTGTGGAGGATCAGCCAAGTACATCTCAGGGCACATACTGATAACAAGTTACTGCCTCACTAACTCCAGACCAAAGAGAGACCGAAGAAAGACAAGAGGCAGAAAAGATTCTACAAGTGGGAGCCATGATATTGGTTCACTCCAGCGTACTCACATGGGGTGTGACTGGAGAAGAAAACAAATATGATATCTGGTTTGAGTTTCCATTTCCCAGTTTCAGTTCCCGGAATAAAGATACTGCATTGCTGATGGGAAATTGCCAGCCCCATTTGATGGAGAAGATACCTGTCAGGAAGAAAGTTTTCATGAAACATTTACTTAGTTTTTGATGCATGGGAAAACAAGAAAAACCAGATGCCTGTTCTTTCCTGATGAAGTCTATGAGCAGCCAGTTATGCTTCTACAGACAGATGAGATGCAACATATTCCATAAACACAAACATATCATTGGAACCCTAATAACAGACCTCGAAGGGCTGGATTCAGTGGAGTTAACTATCTCCTCAAATCGTACATCTAAGACCCCCTCCTCCCTCTCTGTATTTTCACCAGTGCTGCAACTCATCTGATTCTGTGAGAGCCAGTTGAGTGGCATCAAACCACAAGAAATATACTTATTTCTGTAGCGTTACTGGTCTCCTGGTTCAGCTGCTTGAACCAGCTTATCCCATGTGAACAAGAGGACTGGTATGTGGGAAACAGCAAAAAGGCTGCCCTTGCCAGTCAGACCAGAACTGATGTCACATGAAATCAGATCCTGCTTCTTCATACAGAGGCTCTACAAGGATAAGGAAGAAACAAGCTTTTGTGGAAGGGCCTTAACGCCACCCAGAAGTGTAAAAAATTAGGCTAAAAAAACTCCTACTAGTAACGGGAATAAAACTGTTGTGTAAACAAAAGTAATACTGTCTCCTTCATTATATTTGTATCAAACATTTGTACCACAACAACCAACCTCAAATGGCACTGAACAACAGCACTTGAACTTCATGCCTCACCTCTGGAAGCTCCTCTTGGCCACAATTTCAGCATGACTGTCATTCAGAACATCTCCTAAAGCAACAAATGGGAACAAAATATACCATTATTGAAAAGGAGACAAACAAACCAAATAGAATTTGACAGATGACAGTTCTCCAGATTTGTTAGCATTTGAAGGTTTAACATTGGTATTAGGTTATTCCAAGATATTTCAACTTCCAATTACTACAAAAGGATGTCAATGGCCTACACAAATGACAGATAAAGTCTTCACTCTGCAGCAAGTCAGAGACTTGTTTAAATACCAAATTTTAACTCTTCCGATATGTGAAACCCTTTGAGTTGAATAAATACTCCCTTCCTTCAAAATATTCCTGATGTCTGTTCTTAATAGCAGATCTTGATGTTCTCAGATTAAGTATAACATCCTGAAAATTTCAAGTGTTTGCCAAGATTTGGGTTGAAGTTTCTTGTTGCACTATGTCCTACAATTTAAATCGCTTCTCTTGTAAATAGTTCTGGTATTTACTAGGTGTACACATCTCTTCTTCAGACTTCCTGCAGTGTTTGCCTATTGCAGTATCTAAAGAACAGGATCTGTAGATCAGCTTATATTTCAGGAATAAAAGGCCAGGTGATAAAAACCATCTTTAAGTTCTAAACATTTAAAAGTTCTCTGACAGTTAACCATTAACATGACCTACCAACCAAGTTAACTTAAAAATAAATGAACATTATAAGAGGAAAATGTTTTCTAAACCCAAGATCACTGAAGACAAACAACAGAGAGGAACTAGCTTTACTTTTTTCTAGTCAAATTTCTACTTTGACTCTTTATACCTAGATTACAAGTAGTACAAGAGTTTAATCAGAATTTTCCTAAAGCAATCAGAAGAACATCTGTACTAATACTCTTCTAAGATGGCTAAGTCACAAGAAACATCCAGAAAAATCTAAGATACAGAACTTGGCTTCTTCTCTTTTGCTCTACTAATTCATTTCAATATGAAGGATGTTATACAGAACACAAAACATCCTAAAACTGATGCATGCAAAACCACTTGCTCCCATCTTGCTCTACTCCTCCTCAGAAGTCTAAAGAAGGTAGAAAGCCCTGTACCTACACAGTCACGTTCTTCCTCCTTAGTCACTTTTCAGCATTAATTACTATGGCTTCTTCCCTCTCCTAGGAAAGGGGAGAGATACATTCTGAATAAAAAGATGGATATGCAGAACAAGGGAACTCCTACAATAAATATTAAGATGCGGTAGCTGTGGGAATTCATGTATCTATCCCATACATTTATCGTCGAAACACTCAGAATATATGGTAAGAGGAAAAAAAGCCTGGTAGCATCTTTCTGGGATCACACCTACCCTAACCCAGCAGTGGTATCTTTTGCATCAGACCACAATAAAACTAGACCGTAACGGGTGACTGAAGCACAATTATTTTGCTTATGCTTTGTTTTGCTTTTATTTATGAAGTCTTTGAGCAAACTTTCAGGGCAGCCACTCTGGCTGCCTAAGCCCCTCTCTTCTTGATGAGGTGAGGTCTCAGGCATCTGGTTTCAATCCAGAAGTCTGAGCAAAATGCCTTGGATATCTGCATGGATTCTATGACACCAGCAAGAAAGAAGGTAGCATAGGTAGCCTGTTCTTGGATTTTACACCATACTTACCAGTTTTCCTCATTTTGTTTTGGCCAATACACTTTGTTCCAGTTCCCATAGCAACAACTTCCTTCGTTACTGAAAAAAGAAACAACATTAACTGAACAAACTCTCACTGGAAGCACTGCTCTCATACAATCATTCTTGTACAGCAACACATAGAACATTGTGTAGAAGGGAAGGCACAGGGAAACAGCCCATGTGACATTCCAGAAAGGAAACTATTATCAGCTAGAAATAAGGAAAATATTAGAAGCTAGTGCTAGGAAAAGTCTATGATCCCATAGCAGGAGTGCTAACACAAGCTTGATATGCTAAGCGACACACAGCAGACACTGGCATAGGATTCCTATCCTATGAGAAAAGATTCCTATCCCTAAGAAAGAAGCACAGGATACAATCTGCACAACATCATGGCAGTGCCAGTAAGGGAAAAGAAGCCGCTGCTGCTGAAGTAACACAAGCTCAGAATGGAGTAATGCAGTCTGGTAAAGGGCAGCAAATAGCAGCCAACACACTTTCGCAAGGGTTTACATTAGGAATCCAGGTCCTGCCTAGACTTTCACCACTTATTAAACAGCCAAATACAGGGTTTCTTCTTAGTTACAGTTTGGGAAGAAGAGCATTTCACTATACTTATCTCTTTCCAGACAGAAGCTGTAAGAGCTTTTACAATGACAAAGAGTAAAGAATTTGGGTGGAGACAGAAACTAGACAGTAAAGGGTGCATGTTCTTTTTAAAAAGGTATTTTTAAGGGGGTGGGGGAAAAAGCATCAAAGACTGCTACCTCCTCTCCCTCTTCCCCTTTCCCACCCCAATCCCCACAACTCATTCTTACCCTGCAGATTCCCTGGACTAGCAAGAACCTCTTTTTGGGTTGCAGACTCCACTTTGACAACAGCTGCCAGTGAAGTCCATTCCCTGTTGGGATCTGGTTTCCCCTGCTTAGGGAGTCTGGTCCTATAGTGCAGGTAACATAGCTCAGCGATTTCATCGGCTGACCACATGGCTCTGGATACATGTGCAGGTTCTGAACAGAATTGGATTCCATCACAACACTGATTAACAACCTCCATCTCTTCAAACCCTACTACCTTCACCTGTCTAATATCCAAGGCCTAACTGCATCACCCCTTGCAGGATTATTTGTAAGAAATACAACATGAAATTTAAAACTTCCCCCCCCACACACATGGCTAGGAATAAAAACCAAGGCTAGAGCCCTTACAGTCCAGCAGCAGGCGAGACCGCTGGGGTTACCATTAGGCAGCACAGCCCCGCGCGGCCCCTGCACCGCACCTGAGGCGCCGGGCGACACCGCCATCGTGCCGCGGGGCCTCCACCCTTGCCCCGGCCACCGCAGAGCCCCGCAGCCGGGACAGCCGGCGCTCCGAGCCGACCTGTTGGTGTAGCTCTCAAGCGTACATCCCGCCACCCTCGCTCCCTACCCTCCGCCTTAACGGTGGCGCCGCCGCTCCGGGCCGGACGGCAGGCAGACCCCCGCCGGCACCATCGCCTCAGCGACAGCCCGCCCGCGCACGCGCAGCCGCTCCCCCGCCCACCCTCCCGCGCGCGGGGCCCGCCGGGAGCGGCGGTTGCGCAGGCGCAGAGAGAGAGACAGGGAGACGGGCGGGTAAAAGGGCTGCGGTTTATTGCGGTTCCTTCACACAGAGCTGCCGGGCCGCGCCCCTTCGTCACTCTTCATGGCAGGGAAGAGAAAGACCCCCCTCCGAACCGTGGTTTCTTCACACAGAAGTGCCTTCGGCGGGAGGGTCGGGCTGCGCCTCCTTCTTGTTGTCCTCCGGCTTCATGGCCGGGAAGAGAAGCACCTCCTGCGAAAAAGGGACACAGTCAGCGGGTGCCAGGGCCGCTCTGCCCGCTGTGGGTCACTCTGGGGAGACTGTGCACCCTGAGGAGATTTCTGAGTGCAAAAAAGAGAGCTTTTCTGAGGTGAAACTGATCTCATCGACACTTGTAAATATCTAAAGGGTGGGCGTCAAGAGGACAACGGCACCAGGCTCTTTTCAGTGGTGGCCAGAGACTGGATAAGGGACAACAGGCACAAAATGGAACACAAGAAATTCCATTTCAAAGCGAGGAAAACCTTGTTTACTTTGAGGGTGACAAAAACTAGAATAGGCTGCCCAGAGGGGTTGTGGAGTCTCCTTATTTGGAGATATTAAAAGCATGCCTGGCTGCATGCCTGTCCAGCCTGCTCTAGGTGACCCTGCTCTGGCAGGGTGGGTTGGACTGAATGATCTCCAGAGGTCCCTTCCAACCCAGAACATTCTGTGAATTCTTTATCTTACAGAATCTCAAAAGACTACACTAACTTATTTGGTTGGGTTTTTTTCCAGAATCCGATTCCCTGCTCACTGACAAAGCACTGCCATTTCTAACGTTTACCTTGATGTTGTTGGAGTCTGTAAGGAACATGGTGAAGCGATCAATTCCCATGCCCCAGCCGGCTGTAGGAGGAAGGCCGTACTCCAGAGCGGTGCAGAAGTTTTCATCAATGAACATGGCCTCATCATCACCTGCAGCTTTTGCCTAAATGAGAAAATTAATAGTAAAAGGTGGGCCGTACAGAGCTAGGTGGTACCACTTCTGCTAACCTCTACCAAAAGAGGGGAATACCAATATTTGTACCAGCCACGTGACTGATGAAACCAAAGCCCTTTGCAGCTGCACAAGTGAGTAACAGATGAAGGAAATCTCAGCACATAGAGAACTGGGAAGGTCACTTGCACAGGGGCTTCCAAAATAGCTCTGGGCTCAATTCCTTTCTGATCTGCCAAGTACAAGCATTGAAACAGCAACAAACATTTTGGCTCACACAGTTTCACAGAAGACTTTGCAAAAACCTGTTAAACCAAACTTTTCTGCCTTAAGTTCGAAAATCCTGAAATGTAAACTGCCACCTTAACATTAAATTTTCAGGACAATTTTCATTCCATACATGTAATCATATGTCTGCAAAGTCTGGCTATAATCGTGAGAGACAGCTGCAGCAAACATAATACAACAGGCCAAAGGTGAAAGAAAGCTGTAATACTATTCATTTTGACTGAACATTTTGAAATTTAATATTGAGTAAGTTAGTTAACATAAGTCTATTTTCCTGGGTTTGATTTTGGTTTAATCCTCTCAGGCACTGTGAAGCCATCAGAAAGAGTAGGAAGGACAGCTCTGTTTCTGCAGACCACATGATCTGACCTCAATCACACGTGGAGGGCCTGCATGCATGCATGGATGTGTATACCTAATTAATAACAGAATCAGTTTCAGTCACCCCTTTCTAAGGCTTATCTAGAGAAACCTAGTACTAGAAATTTGCAAGCCTAGTGATTTCCAGTCTGCAGCTCTGTTCTGTGAGCCAGTTTAAAATAGTAGTAACACACTTTGGGAAGTTAGGCTATTTCTTACACACACTTGAACTCTAGGAATAGACACAAAAATTTATTTAAGAACTTAGAAATACAATGTTGTATGACTAGATAAATGCTTACTTGGGGAAAAGTAACTTTCAACCTGAGCAAGACAGAGAAAACCCCTTGCACATTTGCTTATTTTCAGATTAGTACTTCAGGTAGAATAAAAGGGAAGATAATCCAAAACAAACTCGCACTACTGAAAAACTAATCAACAGGAGTGTTTGGACTTGTTTACCTCAAAGAGCAAGGTTGCTTTAAAAGGATTTAAGTTTTAATATCAGGCTTTCGCTTGAGTGATAAACACTCACTCCAAGTAGTAAAAACTCCTTTCAGCAGTAGGGACTAATGACAGATTTGGAATACACTTAAGAAATAGCTTTTGCTTACATGCCAATATCACTGATTCACTATCAGACATCATACCTTGGCCTGATCTTCAAAAAGCTGCCGCTGCCGGATAGGATCGTTAAGTTCTGTGTACGCATTGCACACTTCCTTCTTCATTACAAAGAGCTCAAAACGTTCTGTTAGTCCTGGATGAGAGCGATGCCTACACAGAGACAACAAAACAGCCACACCTTAAAATGAAGGTCTTTACAGAAGCAAAGTGCACATTTGTTACTTCAGGAGGATTGCCCACACTTAGCAGTAACAGCTGCCAAAACTTCAGACTACTAAGCATCAGCCCGCCTCTTCCCTGGATGACGGGATTCACAGCTCATGAATGTGAGGGGTTTTTGGTTGTTTTGGGTTTTGGGGTTTTTTTCCAGTTGTTTGGTTGGTTTTTTCCTCTTTTTAATAACGTAGGAGTGGAGGATTTAAAGAGTTACACAGTGACTGTGTCTCATACTCTTACCATTTGGCTAGAGGACTCATGATCTGTGGGTGATCGCAGATGAATGTAGGGTTGATACATGTGACTTCCAGGAATTCACCAACCAACTAGGAAAGCAAAAGCAAAACTAGTTTGTAGAGCGCAGTATCACCTTCCAGGCACTACCTGTCTCCAAACATCCTGCTTCCCTCTTATCACTACTGAACAATGGACCATAAAACTGAAAAGTTTCCCAACTAATTAATTCCTGATCATGGTAATGTCTTTGTTAACAGAGGCAAGAAAAATGGCATAGCAAAAACTGTATAAAAAATAACAACATAATTCATTTGGACATTACAGCAAAGGCCAAAAGGAAAAGCAGCAGAAAAATAGCTATCAAGCAATATTTTGGGTACAATGGGAAAGACTTAATACAATTGACAGAAAACTACACTGTAATCCTACCAGTTTGGTATGGTACATACAAATGCACAGATCTCAGAAAAAAATGACCTAAGATAAAGCAGATCTACTTTAAGCACAACAGACCAGTTATCAAACTGAAGTCCTTTAATGCTCACATCAAACAGGCAACAGTAAACTACATTTTGGTGGAGACAACACAAAAAAAGAGATTTTGACACAACAAGTTTTCTCGCTGTGATCCAGAATCAGGTGAAGTGCATTTCAGCATGTTCTCCCAGATGGAGCTAAACTTTTGCTCTGAAGAGACTTTCATTAATACAGATAGATCCTCAAAGACATTAAGCTTATATAGACACCACCTTTACTTACTTTGTCAAGAAGCCTGGCTGTTGTCCTGGGAGGTGCACACTCAACATTCCTCTTCACACAAAGGTCATCAAAAAACTTGCGAGTTTCTGAAATTGTTGTAGACAAAAGTTAGAAAAGCCAGGCAGGCGACCACCTTTTTTTTTCCTCCTTTCTGCATCCTTCAACATATCTTAGAGTGATTTATAAGATCTTAATGGTATAGATCACGGAAAACATGAGCTTACATGTCAATCTGCAAAACCTGTTCGATTTTAATCAGTTTACACTAAAAATGTAAGTTATTTTATACTTCAGAAACTTGACAACAGTTAAGCACAACCCCACACAACTGCTGGACATCATTATTTAGGGGGAAAAAATGGGGAAAAAAATCATTAAAAAGTGTATGAACTTGTTTCCTTATGTCTCTGGATTCCAGGAATAAAACAGCACATACACATATTTTGAAGAAAGCCCAAAATAACCATACTCCTAACCTATGATCACAGGCATGGAGACTCAACTGCCCAGAAGACAAAAGACATAAGAAATAAAAAGCTGGGTCTCTTCAACAGACGAAGAACTCCCCAGATCACGCCTATTGAGTATATAGCATCACATATAACTCAACAAAGAAAGAGGCAGAAGAATCAGATCCTGCCAATTACCACAAGGTATGAAGGCTTCTTTCTGGACTCTTACAAAACCAGAGAAAAGTAATCTCATGTGTTAGTACCACCTCAAAAAAAGCAACTGACGGACCACAAGCTGAGAACTTGAGACCTTTCACCCCCTTTCTGTTAAGGAAGAATTATAGGACATTCATACTCAGCATCTAACCTTCAGTTTCAAAGTGCTCAGCTGGTGGAAATTTCACTCCGAGGACCTTTTCCAGCTCATCCACCATGCTAATCCGCCGGAAGGGAGGTGTAAAATCAATCTCATAGGCCTGTCCATCTTGACCATCTGGATGGTAAGTGATCTTGTAACTTCCAGTAATATTTTTCACCATCCCTACAAAAGGAAGCTGAAGTTTAGAAAAAGAGTATTCCACATAATATGTAATTCTTCCAAAGATTCTTACTCTTCACTGATACTGCATACGTCACCTGAAAGCAATTTCTCTGTAATATCCATCAAGTTGTGGTAGTCTGCATAAGCCATGTAGAATTCACAGGTTGTGAACTCAGGGTTGTGAGTCAAATCGATTCCTTCATTCCGGAACTGACGCCCGATCTCATATACTCTGTCCATGCCACCAACCACCAACATCTAAACAGAAGCAAATTCTTGTAAACACTAACTTTTTCAAAAGAACCAAAAGAGAACTCAAACACACACAACTACAAGACAACCTTACAAATGTCATTCAAGATACATTTTGTTTCCTCCAATCAAAAGAGTCCACCTTTCTTCAAGAGTAATCCTCATCTTAGCTGCACTTACTTTTTTAGAAAAAGATCACAACAGATCTAGAGAATATAGGCTTAGCCACAAGAGGCTTGTGTTTTACCTTATGGTAAAGCTCTGGAGCAATTCTCATATATAAATTCATATCCAGTTCGTTGTGGTACGTGATAAAAGGTCTTGCCACAGCTCCACCTGGAATTATATTCATCATAGGAGTTTCAATCTGTAAAATAATAAAAAACAACAACAAAAAAATTAATTTAACAGTGGCATAAATATTTCTAAGCTCCTACCTCAATGCCCTGCTTTCATCTAATCTGTTCCCAAAGTAGAACTCTGTAGATCAAGGAAACAAACAAACCACTGCCAGCTTTCATTAAAAAAAAAAAAAATTATCTCTATTTCATTGATCACTTGACATTCCAGTAGAGGAAAACAATTCTGAACTAAAGACCACTTCTCCCATACAGTCAGTAAAGACAAATTGCTTAAACTATTTGTTGCTATCAAGCATCATTCATAATTACTATAAATGTGAACCTGCTGGGTTCGTGTTATCAAAACCAGGAACTGGACTGTGGCATTATCACAAAGTCATCTCTGCATTGCAGGAAATGAGGTTCAAAAGGGTCCCGTCCAAGGTCCTGCTGGGTTCATGGTATCAAAACCAGGAACTGGACTGTGGCATTATCACAAAGTCATCTCTGCATTGCAGGAAATGAGGTTCAAAAGGGCCACGTGCAACGTCCTGCACCTGAGGGGGACAATCCCCAATATCAGCACAGCCTGGGGGATGAATGGAGCATTCAAAAATATGTGGCAGTTGAGAATGGCTGGGAATATATGGAATGCATGGAAACATTCACTTTATCTAAAAAGGTGTTACTGAAGGTGGGTATGTGTGGGGAATCCCACAGTCCAACTGAATTCTATTCTGAATAGATACACAATTTCAAAGATAAAAAAAGAATTAAATCAATCTGCTGCAGGCTTCAGTGAGTTGACTTAGTTCACAACCTTGCAAATTTTCTTTCACAGCAGCTCATTTTCTTAGATGTTTAGAAGGTGACCACTTATGCTTCAAGCAATACACTCAGCTACACAAGAAACAAGACTTCAGTTCTATGTCTCCTGACAATGGAAAGAGAAAGTTGCTGCAAATTACGGGAAAAGGGAGTAGCAGGTGGGAAAAGGGAGTAGCAGAATGACTCATACGGAGACCTGGGGCAAGTGGCCAAACAATTTTTGAATTGATTCTATGGGATGTGCCACGTTTAAACTGCTGTACCCTCAAATCAGCCTGGCTTTCATGTTAACACAAAGAACTTCAGTATATGCCTCTCCATACCCTCACATCTTAGCATCAAGAACTATTACCCTGGAAACATGACAACAGGTATTTTCAGAACAGAATCTCAAAATTCACAACAAAACTACTTAAAATCATAGGATGGTTAAAGTTGGAAGAGACCTTAAAGACCACCTAGTTTCAATCCTCCTGCCATGGGCAGGAATACCTTCCACTAAACCAGGCTGCCATATAGAAGGGGAACACTTCTACAAAAGAGAATGAGACTCAGGGCTCCTGTGAAAGAACAAAGGTCGGGCAAAAATCCCCCAAAGTCAATGTGTGATAAAAAGGGAACAAAGATGCATCTAGAACGTAAAAAAGAGAGGAGAAACTTTGTAGGTTACAAATTAACATAGCTCCCTATGCAAGTATTTAATGAGATTCTCCAAAGAGATCTATACTATAAAACAAGCTGAGGTGCAGAAAACAGAAAGCAGTCAGCATCCCAGACAGTGCTGGAATCAGAAATAAAGTTTAATTGATTATGATTGGACTAACAAGCCCTGACAATCAGCTGAAGAACATGACACCCATGACAGTTTGGCTAATTTTTCTCAAAATTAACTAGTGTCTGTTCATAGTGTGACACTACACTGTGCTATATGGAGTACTGCTGTGATTGAGCACGGCCCAATTAACGTAGCTCCAGACTGCACTCTACTGTGTAGCAGCCCATTGCCTGACTTGTCTGCCTTTTACTTTATTCCCAACATTCTCACCAAGCCTAACTAACTTACTCCAGTATTCAGACGAGTCAAAACTTGATATAAATTGAGAAGGACTCTTATGGTCCTTTTTGAATAAGCTATCAGAATAGCAAAATCTGTAAGTACTAGTTTAAAAGTTATTTGAAAAAACAAAATCAAATCAAAGAAAGCCATTAAAGCCATTATGCATGACAGAGATGACACAGTACAGGTTCGGATTCCCACTGCTCTCAAAAGTCTCCCACTGGCAGTTTTTGGGATTAGTTGATAAACACTTGTAAATAAACTACATTAAGTTCTAATCTTTTTGCTAATTAAAGTACAGTCAAGAATTTGGATGCACCAGAGAGCAGAGCTAGTATTATTTTCTCATACATTATGTCACAATACATCTTAAGATAAAACCAAATTTACTTATAGAAAGCCTGCATTTATCTCCAGAGGTAGGTAATTTTTTCACTTAATTTAGTGAAAGAAGGGAAGGACAGCAGTAGTTGAAAGTACTACCCTGATAAAAGTTTCCTGAGTCATAACCTCACCAACTGAGGAATGGAATAGAATAGACTTAACTTTACGAAGAAAGGGAAGGAATGGCTCCCATTACATTAAACTGATAAAACACACTCTGCTGGGGTAATTATTCTCACTTCTGTAAATAGTTTGCACATCAGTTTGAATATAAAGCATCCTTGAAGCTGAGAAGCTCTAAACACATTCAACATGCAGAGAGAAATAAACACTAAAACCTTACCTCAAGGAAGCCCAACTCGTCTAGAAAGCTTCGAATATAGGTAATGATCTTTGCACGGGTTATAAATTTCTGCCTCACATAATCATTGAGAATTAAATCCAAGTATCTCTGACGATACCTAGTTTCCTGAAAAGAACAAATATCTTTAGAACAAGCTAGACAAATGTGCTGCCAAATGAAAAAAAAACCAGAACAAGAACTACTGTTTCTTTTTTGTTGACTGATACCACCAGCAGATATAAAAGGTCATCCATTCAGACTTATCTGTCAAATTGCCTCCAAGAGTGAGAGATGTGACAAGTACCTTATCTTTGAGGCCAAAGTGGAGATGAGGCAACATGTGCAGGCATGGAGACAACAGAGTTATTTCAGAAGGAATAATACTCAGTTCCCCTTTCTTTGTTTTCCCAGGATTCCCCTCCACACCAATAATGTCCCCACGACGCAGCTTGTTGTTAATACGGAAATACTCTTCCTCGGATTTGTAGAGCCTGGAATGACAAAAACCAACATTAGCAGTTTTGTTTAAAATTCAACATTTCAAACTGTCCTGCAAGTCTCTCTCCAGATCAAATCCTTTAAAAAAATGATCCTTCTAGCAGGGAAGCCAACAGCAACATCCTAAGCGAAACACTACCTGGCTGCCTAAGCCAACTCATAGACCCAACCCATAGCCTAAGGAGATGAAGGAACAGAATGCCCAAATACAGATCTCTAGGCCCCAGAACCGCAGTTCAGTTTACAATGCTACTGGGAATACCTCTCCTTACCTGGAATTTGCCATGACCTGCAACTTGACTCCTTCACCACGAAGATCATAGAAAATCAGCTTCCCTCCAGAGGCACGCTTTGCATGGATCCGACCTAAATATCAAAATATGCAGGATATCAGGATAAGAGTCCTTAGCAGAAAGGATACAGGAGCAAAAGGCACCGTATTATCACTTGGACAAAGGATTGTCAGCTCCGAACTAATTACCAACCATGAAAGAGAAGCACTTATGTCTCAAAGTTAATACCAACGCACAAAAGACCATATGAACTTTGGGTCCTGGAGCTCGTATCACAATCTGATCTTGTAGTTACAAGGGATGTTGCATGGGTCTACTCAGTCTGAAAGGATGTGTCCATCCAGCATTACCTGAACAGGCTTGAAAGCTGGTCAAAGAAGAACCTTATGAGGTTCAACAAGGGCAAATATAGGGTCCTGCACCTGGGGAGGAAGAACCCCAGGCACCAATATAGGTGAGGAGAATGATCTGGGAGTCCTGGGGGATAGCAGATTTTCCATGAGCCAGCAATGTGCCTGTGTCACCAAGAGGTCCAATGGAATCCTGGGCTGCATAGGGAAGAGTGTGGCCAGCAGGTCAAGGGAGGTCATTCTCCCCCTCTACTCTGCTCTGGTGGGGCCACAACTGGAATACTGCATCCAGTTCTGGGCTCCCCAGTTCAAGAGAGACAGGGAACTGCTGGGGAGAGTGCAGCATAGGGCAACAAAGATAATTGAGGGATTAGAGCATCTCCCTTATGAGGAAAGGCTGAGAGAGCTGGGACTCTTTAGTCTGGAGAAGAGAAGGCTGAGGGGAGAGCTTATCCACATTTACAAGTACCTAAAGGGTGGGTTGAAGGATGATGGAGCCAGACTCTTTTCAGTGGTTTCCAGCAATAGGACAAGGGGCAACAGGCACAAGCTGGAACATGGGAAGTTCCACTCAAATATGAGGAAGAACTTTTTTCCAGTGAGGGTGAGAAAGCCCTGGAAAGGCTGACCAGGGAGGGTGTGGAGTCCCCTTCCCTGGAGATTTTGAAGACCTGCCTGGATGCAGTCCTGAGTGATGTGCTCTGGGGAACCCTGCTTTAGCAGGGGGGGGTTGGACTGGATGATCTCTAGAGGTCCCTTCCAACTCGATGATTCCAGGAGCAGTCTAACACTGCTACAGACTTCATGACTGAGTAAGCGGGGAATCAGCAAAATGCAAAGAGAGACCACTCCATCACTAAAGGCAGCTAAGACTTGTCTTAGCAGAGCAACAGACCATCTTTTTGTATCCCAGATAAGCCTTTACCTGCCACTCTCAATGTAATGTCTGTCAGGTGATCTCCTGGCTGCAGGTGACTGTATTTCTCTATAAATTCTGTGAGTGATATGTCTACATGGAACTTGTGGGGATAGGGATCTTCGTTGGTGCCCTTCAGCTGCTGGATCGCATGGCTACGGATCTTGAAGTATTGCTGTTACCACAAACAAAGAAAATGAAATTATTTGGTCAGAAACTGAAAGCATTTTATATGTAGAAAGTTACAACGCCCTTTACAGGAATATGTAGACCTCTTCCCTTTTAACCATTTAGTTCCCCTCAAATAAAGAAAAATCAAATGTAAATCTGTAACATTTATTCTCAGAACGGCAATAAGCATGAGGCCAGACACTCACATTTGGATCCAAGTTTTCCTCATCAGCAGCAACGTTATTCTCGGAGTCACAAGTCGCAGAAGCCTTATTTGATTGCTTCTCACTTTGCTCTTTCTGCTTTGCCTCCTTCTCAGCAGTTTTCCTCTCAGCTTTTAAGCGTCTCTTCAGCTCACTGCAGGAGAGAAGGGGTGGATGGGGACGTGGGGGACACCACCACGCTCCCACAAGGAGACACTCGGCAGGATTCCACCAACAGGTTTCCAAAGTACAAGTAGCCCTGCCGCTCCTCTCACTCTGCCCAACACTACAAGTCATCCCCAAGTGTGCCTGAGTGCTGCCGTCTCTGAACTTTTTTTAGTTAATCTCCTGTGACATACAAATACTCAGGGAAAGTCACAACTGAATTAAACAGCCCGTAAGCAGACCCTGAGGAACGTGTGCCCCAGGACCCTCCACGGGGTATTTTACACACAGGAGCCCGGCAACCCCACACAGCACACAAGTGAAATAAGGCAGACTCTCCCCTGGAGCTACTCAGGGTTCCCGAAGCCGCCTTCGGTACCCGGCCCGGCCCCCCGCGGCTCCCGCCCCGGCCTCCCGGCACTTCGTGAGGGAAGCGGCGGCCCCCTCCAGACCGCAGCGCACCGACCTGCTTGGGTCATGAAGTGCCCGGCGCCATGGGAGCAGGGGCGCGGCCCTCCAGACCCAGCCGCGGAGCCGCACGGCGGCGGGGCTCAGCATGGCCCGCTCCGAGGGGTGGCCCGGCCCGGTCTCGCCTCCCCGGCCCGGCTCCCCCTTGTCCGCCCACCCTCACTTTTTGCTGAGGCGCGACTCGCTCTCCGCCGCCTCGCACACGCGCTCCTCCGCAGCCTCCATCTTCCCGAGCTCCAGACGTGCCCTTCCGGCCCTCCCGCGCCTGCGCGACCGGGGCGGCGATGGCGGCGGCGCGGTCGCGGTCGCTCTTCTTGTGGGACGACGGTAGCCCGATGCGGTTCTACGTGCGGCCCGGGTTGGCCAAGCTGCGCCTGGCGCCGCTGGTGCTGGCGGGCGGCGGGCGGTTGTGCCGGGTGCAGGAGCCGGGAGCCGTGCTCTTGGCGCAGCCCGGGGAGGCGGCGCCGGCCGGGGCTGTCTCCACCGAGTACGTGACGGAGTGCGTGGAGCGCAACCGGCGGCTGCCGCTGGAGCCCTTCCGACTGCCCGCCGCGCTGCCCGCTCCCTCACTGTCCGCCGCCTCGCCCCGCGGCCGCCTGCCTTTCACGGAGGCGGAGGACGCGGCGCTGCTGCGGGCGGTGCGCGGGCGGGGCCAGGCGCGGGCGGGCGGCCGGGCGCTGTGGAAGGAGCTGGAGCGGGCCGGCCTGACGAGGCACAGCTGGCAGGCCATGCGCGACCGCTACCAGCGGCACCTGCGGCCGCTGCTGGGCGGTGAGTCGGGGGGTGGCCGGGGCCGGGGGGAGGTCGGTGGAGGGGCGAGAGAGCGGCCGGGGGCGAGGGGAGGCTGATGGCCGGGGGCGACCGCGGCCCCGCTGCGGCCCTGCAGTCAATGCCTGCCTCGTCCCGCAGAGCCCCGACGGACGGCGGAGCCGGCAGAAAGTCGAGGTCTCTTCGAGGAAGCCAACCGGGAGTTTGAAAGCACGGAGGTAAGCGTCCCGGGCTGGTGGGAGCCGTCCCTCCTGGTTGTCACCGAGCAGCACGATAACTCATCGTTAACTTCTTAATTGGCTTTGCACTGTGGTGTCCCTTCTGCTGTGGCTAACGGGGAGCTTTCGTGTGAGCCGTGGCCCACGCGGTTCAATGATGGATGCGCGGTGCCGCGCCGCGGTGTGTTTTCCGAGTCTGGTTCCCTGCCCAAGTTAACGGGAGGAAACTAATCTGACAGTGTTGACACGTTAAAAGCTGTATTGGCAAGTGGAAGGCATTCTTTCACCGTGGGCATAAAATGTTCCCGCAGTGCCATTAAGATTTACTTTTGCCTTTTGTACTTAGTTTGTTCAAGCTCTCCCTTGTATTTCATGCTTTTCTGTAATCTTGGATACCCTCGTTAGCACATATGGCTTCTGTCACTGGATTTTCCCAGGTGATTTCTGAGTTTTTGATACAACATCACAGTGGGAAGTGGTTGTGTAGCAGTGATAAAAGCAGCTTGTCAAAGCAGCTTATCAGGAAGCACCATCTCTAACTGATGACCTCTTCTCTTACTTTTAGTCAGGAAGTGACACTTCAGACATCTCAGAAGAACTTTCTACACGAGATGGAGAAGGAAAGGCCCCAGGAGAAACAGCATCTGGTTTCAGAACTGGACCAGAGGACTCTGCTCTCCCTGACACTCAATTGCAAAGGGAAGAAACACCAACAAGCACTTGCTCTTCCAGCGTGGTGGGAGAAGTAGTAAAAACTATGCAGCATTTCATGGAGAAGTTTGGCATGGACCTGTTGACTGTTACACAGGCCTTCCTGAAAAACACGGGTGAAGTGGAAACTACTTTACACTTTCTACAGACGGGGCAGCGCTTGGACGGGTACCCTGTGTGGAGCAGAGAGGATGATTTGGAATTGCAAAAAGATGATGAACGGGTCAGAAATAAATTGATAGCAAAATTTGGAGCTGAAAATGTGGCAAAGCGGGTAGCATTTAGGAAGAGTTAGATAGCAAAGCAGAGGGGAATGGCTGATCCAGGACTGTGGTAGGACCTTAAAAAAACAAAATCATTTGAGAAATGCAAATGTGATAAAGTTTGATGCAGCATTCTGAAGGATCAGAAATGCTTTAAAATAATTGTTTATAAAAGGCCTATTTTCTATTTGATTTTTCTTTGTAATACTGAGTACACTAAACATTTAGAAATGGAAAACAGCAAAGAGAAGGATTCTATGCAGTATCAGGTTTTCTCTGAAAATTTGCTTTAAAATGTGTATCCACGATATAAACCAGCAGACAGTCCTACCTGTAGATTGCTGCATTGCAAAGGCTTTTGGACAGAGTTGGCACCAAAATCTGACAGAATCACAGTAAGTGCTCTAACCTGTCGTGCATTATTAGTGCACAATAGCAGCCTGTTCTCTCCCATGTGTCTTCTTCAAACTGGTGTGGATGATAATTTCATAACCTCTTTTTTTGTTGATGTTAATGAACCTCGATTACGTTTGCAGACGTTTAGGAAGTTAAATTTTCATCATCTCCAAAGAGGGACCAAGAATATTCATGCCAGAAGGTGAGGCACTTGGTCCTGTAAATGAATGCTGAGATGTCTCAGAGTGGCCGAGTGTACTGGGAATGGCCAAAAAAGGTCACAGTGACGTTATAATATTCCATCTCATGTTACAGAGATCTCTCAGTTAAAACCTCAGGCCGGTGGACGATCACCTCAGTGTTCATTACCACTTCCAGAGTGTGTTCTCCAGTGCTAATGTTGCAGGGTTTGTTTAATAAGGTCAGCTTTACCATCTTGCTTCATGATTTCAAAAACAATAGCTCTACCCCAGCTTGCATCTCTGCAGATTGAAGAGTCCCAGCTTCTTTAATCCAGGCAAAGTAACGCTTTTAGAACTTGTGCCAGACTACATAGTCTAGTTGGAAGAAGCAGACCAGGTTGCAAGGCCACGTGCAATAGTTTGAGTAGGAGACACAAGAAGAAAGAGTGCTCAGAGTTTGTTTAGGTATCTGTCACCGAAGTTATATTTCAGGGAGAACACCATTGCTCGTATACAGTCACAATCTGAAAAAACTCAGTACTTTCAGCCTGAAATCATGCTCTGGTCACTATTTTAATATTATTTGAAGTCAGTCCTGTAAATCTAGAATTCATTCTTTTGGTGAAATAAAATGGGCTTGTAACAGCAAAGATTGATTTTTATTTTTATTTCCCTTAGAATTGTATTTTGGGTTTTTGCTTATTGCACTTTGGCACTCAAAAAAAAAATTCAAGTGAATTAGGAAATTGCTGAGTTTGAGCCAAATTCGAATGATATTGAAAGTCAATGATATAATGCTATTGCTACTTAAGGAAACCGCTACTCTGAAACAGCGACTGATTATTTGGGGAGTTAACCAATGTAACCAAATAAATGCCAAAACTCTGTTTCAGACTATACAGTGTTTCACTGGACAGGTCATTCCTGCTGAAAAAGGGAGAATTATTTGGTACATTCACGCTGCTCAGAGTGGTTACTTGAGGCTTGTGGGGAAGACCAGACAAGCACTTAACAAGAAAGTGCAAGACAATGTAGCAAATAAGGCAGTAAGACTTTTTTAAAATGAGAAACTTTGCCAGGAGGATTTGAAACCCAAGGACTGCTGATGACCAGAGTCATGAACAGGAGACCTGTCACCTCCTGTAGCCAAAACCTCCTGCTCCAGTTTGGGTGGTGTATGCGTCGTGGTAGCTCCATAACCTCACGATTCAGTGGTCATCTCGTTTAACCAAACCTGCTCTAGGATTCAAAGTGAGAGGTAGAACATGCTATGTTCGCATTAAGACAACTTTAAATTTTCACATGACCACACTATTTGGCTTTGGTTCTTCCAGAAAAAATGAAATCTTACCAATTGTTGCATTGAGGGAACGTAGCTAAAGGAGTTTAGTAAAGATATTCTGAAATCAATGATCCTGCTTTTTCTGAAATAAGCTTAGGAAGCACAACTTAAAGTAATTTTCAAAACAGGACATTAAAAAAATGCATTGTGTGTTATTTTTATGTCATTTGTTTACTGGCTGACTGGAAACACTATGTAGGTTTTTGTCCAGCTAAACATTTGATACATGGAATTAATTGAGTCTGCTGAAAACAAGTATTCAAAATAAAACGTACACCAATCAAGCTGGCATTGGTTAATGTAGAGCTATAATTAGCAATGTACTGAAAAGAGTCTGTGTTTGCTCAGAAACAGGCTTCTTTGCTTTTAAAGTAGGAAATTTTTTACTATGACCTCAGTAGCAACAGGTTTCTGAGACTCCGTGCTTTTGGCTGAATGAGTTAAGAACCATTTTGAAGGGACTTTAAAGGAAACACAGCAGCTATGGGCTTCCCTGGCGCGGTACGAGTCCTGCGTCCTCTGCCAGCCCAGCACTAAGCTCGCATCAACGCTGGGTGAAGGAAGACACCTTCTTCCCATGGTCTTACCCCAGCACCATTGCTGCTGCTCAGCGTGGATTTCCTCATTCAGCAACAGGATCCCTAGGAGTAAGACCATGGTTTCCATAATATACAACATCCCACCCTTTGCAGTGATTAGGGGTTTAGCTCCAGGATCCACACTGCTACGGCAGCAGGTGACCTGTAAATGTCACTAAAGCCTAAATGTTGGATACAACTTCTGATGCCCCTTGCTGTCTGCAGAGTAGTGGAAATATTCGGGCTCTGGAGCGATATCTGAATTCACTGTTAAACAGATGCAGGTTAAAGGGACTTTGCAATTTACCTGTGAAAGAGGACATTTAAAAGGAGGCATTTGCAGGTATTTCACTCCCAAAGTCTGGTAACAAGCTTTTCTCCTTGTTTTATGGAACACTGTTAAAAACAGGTAAAAATAATTCTGTTGTTCAGGTTTGAGCTACATATTCCCATTGGAGGTGGGAGAATGGCATCTCCAATGGAGATGGTGGTGAATGGCATAGTCTCTAAAACATAATTTTGTTGTGTTCTAAGACAGGAAATGCCCTCACCAAAGAATTCATTAGGATAATTCCCCATTCTCCTCTTGGCTTCTTCAGTCCACTGCCATAAACCTTTCTTCCCAGTTCCAGTATTTATACCAATCAAATCTGTGTCCTTACCTTGTCTTTACAGCCTCAACCTTAGCATGAATTCTTCTTAGTCACAGTTCTCAGACTGCATGAACTCCCAGGGGAACAGCTATTCTTGGCTTCAAAAGCTAGAAGGCAGAATTATTTCAGCTGAAAGAGAAATGGGTTCCCGTAGTCACAGAAATGGATCCCCATAGGCAAACCCAGGAGTTTTTATTTTCAACTAGAGCTGGTTTATTCCATTTTTCCATTGTGTAGTAAGTGAACGCAAACATTTCCCCGACGTTGCCACCAAGGCTGGATGCCCAGGCACAGGAATGGAGCAAAAGAAAAACTGGGCTTGAGAACTTAACCATTCAAAATAAAAAGGTCTTTCCAGAAACCACTGTCTGGTCATCCTTGCGTCTCATCTAGCAGTACGTATTCTGCATGGCAGCATGACAAATACTGTTCTCTTTGTTCAGCTTCCATTTAAATCTCCTCTTCCTTTGCAGTGCAACTGCTTCATGGGGTTTCACTAGTATTAAGCTGTGGTCTGCGAAGGGGGTAAGCTCTGCCACCTGGTCCCACACCTTTGGCATTCTATTTGTTCCAACCTATGCTTACTTCCTCTTTCGCATAAACTATGGACTTAATTTGGAAAACAGACTCAAATTCATTCAGCCTGCATTGTGGCTGAGCCTCCAGGAGAGTGACGCAAATTGCTTTGTAAATTGCAATGGTGCGTTCTCCATTGTATCCATAAAATCTGCAATAGTGAACATATCGGACCTGTGAGTGAAGTCCAAATAAATTGTTCATTTGAACCTCTTGGTGAAGTCTCTTTCTCTCCACCACAGCTGTGCTGCTGAGAAAGCTCTCCTGAGCTCAGTCGGGGTTCCTGAGTTACTGCTCCTTGCACAGCACATCCATGCACACACACTCTTACACACACCCACGCACCTCTGTCCTCTTTTTGCCCTAGTAACAGTTCTGCACACCGCAGCCTTCAGAGAGTAGGTGCAGAGAGCAGCTTTTCTGCCTTCAGAATTTTGTTACTCAGAGTTCTGGGCCAACAAAAGATCCAGCGACATATCTTTTTGCTCGTCTTCAGACAGAAGGAGACGGTAGCCCAGCAAGTTCATTGCCTCCTTGCACACATTTTGCACCTTTTCTATTTTCTGGAAGGAAAGGGTCTTCCTCCAGGCCTGGGACACTCTCAGTGCGTCTCTGGACCCAATAATAAACTGTGCTCCTTGCCCCTTCCCGTGGGTGATGTTGTGCACCCACTTCTGAAGTTCTGGTGTGAAATCAAGTTCTGCAAACCTGTACATCTCTGCAGTCTTTGTCAGCGGGTCTCTGACAATGTCTTCATAGCGAACCATCAGGTAGCGGTCTTTGAGGAAGCTGGGAGCATCCTGACTGCCTGCCTTGTAAATCTCAACGTGGCTTTTGCAGATCACTTGCATTGTCTCGAAGGGCTCCATTTCTTTCTTCGTCTTCTGGGACCGCACCACGATGTTAGTGTCGTACTTCAGTTCTGCCACTGCATTCTCTCGGGACCTGAACACAGCCCGAGGATCACGGACCAAGTGAATGATTTTGAGGTTCAGGGACGGATCATTGAGAAGGGGGTAGAGAACTTTCAGGTCAAAGAACCGAACCTCCTTGACGACAATGTGGCTGTAAGTTTTACAGGCTTCCTCCACCTTGCTGAATGGGTACTTGCTACACAGTATTTTGCAGTTGACTGCACTGATTATGTCACTGCGACTGAACGTGTCACAGGCAGGGGGGGAGCACAAGGCTCGGCTTGTCTCCCACTGAAATAAATCAGACTTTGTCCTCTCGCTAGACATGTAAGCATCAAACACAGACATGTCACACAGAAAGACCGACCTGACTAAGTCCCGCACTGCCATGTGCAGGACCTTGGCAGTGTTATAGTACATCTTAATCCACACGTGCCACGCAGGCTCCATTAGGTAGAAGACGCTGGGGTGCTGGCTGAAAAGTTGTCCAGTGAAGGAAGATCCTGACCGCCAGGAGGAGAGAATGAGGATGTGGACTGGAGAAGGTTTTTCTTCAGTGGGGACATTGTTGCTGCAGGGTGGGTAGCAGAAGTGGATCAGAAAGGAGAACAGAACTGCCAGAATCAGGAGAAACTGCAGCCTTCTAAACTTCATCATGGTTGCAATAGACCTGCAGAGACAGAGGAAATTCAGCATCACAGGATCATGAAGCTGGCAAGATGTGGTGTATCAGGCTCCTGCCATCCCTCTGCAGGCTCAGGGGTTTGGAAAGCTGCCACAATAGTGGTGGTACTGTGACAACCACGGCACAAGGTGTTGTTGGAAAGGACATAAATACTGCAGGGCTGAAAGTTTCCTGTAACAAAACCACTCTTTGTCAGTAAGCCATTCTAATGCAGTCTGAGAAGATCACTGAAAAGGCTGTCTGCGCTTCTATCAAAGTTTAAGAGTTAGTGCAGTGTTTTGAAATACACAGAAGTGTGTACGTAGTGTACACAATCCCTGCAGACATGATCCCAGCAATTTTTATGGAGGAAAGATAGAGCAAACAGTTTTTGTGGAGAATTCAACATTTCCACATTGTTACTTTTAAGGTCTTGCTCTGCCATTTACAATTATTTTTATGCCAGAATGCTGTAAAAATACAATGTAGGTTTCAGTTTCTTTTCCTAATGTTCTTTTGGAATTTCATGAAACATTTATTGTAATCACAGGCAAAAACTCACATACCAAAGGAAGTCATTTGGCATTGTAATAAATCCAAGCACAACAAGATGTAGAGCTTCCCCTTGTGGACAAGAAGGCAAATGATCTCCTGGTATGCATTAAAAAGACCATAGCCGGCAGGTCGAGGGAAGTCATCCTCTCCCTCTACTCTGCCCTGGTGAGGCCACATTTGGAGTACTGTGTCTGGTTCTGGGCTCCCCAATTCAATAAAGACAAGGAACTACTGGAGAGAATCCAGCGGAGAGCTGTGAAGATGATCAAGGGAATGGAGCACCTCTCTGATGAGGAAAGGCTGAGAGACCTGGGTCTGTTTAGCCTGGAGAAGAGAAGACTGAGAGAGGGTCTCTTCAACGCTTGTAAATATCTAAAGGGTGGGTGTCAAGAAGACAGGGCCAGACTCTTTTCAGTGGTGGCCAGAGACTGGACAAGGGGCAAAAACTGGAACAGAGGAATTTCCACCTCAACATGAGGAAAAACTTGTTTGAAGGGTGGGTGTCAAGAAGACGGCCCCAGACTCTTTTCAGTGGTGGCCAGAGACTGGACAAGGGGCAAAAACTGGAACAGAGGAAATTCCACTTCAACATGAGGAAAAACTTGTTTGCTTTGAGGGTGACAGAGCACTGGAACAGGCTGCCCAGAGGGGTTGTAGAGTCTCCTTCTCTGGAGATACTCAAAACCCGCCTGGATGCGTTACTGTCCAGCCTGCTCTAGGTGAACCTGCTGTGGTGGTGGGGTTTGGACTAAAAGATTTCCAAAGGTCCATTCCAACCCCTAACATTCGGTGATTGTATAATATCTCCTCTACAATCCCAGCATCATAAGCAGTTTTGCTAGAAAGGCCCACAAGGGTTTCTCTCACCCATTTTTGTGCAGCCCAGCTTATCTACAACTAACCCCTTTCTTAGCCTTTTTAAAGACTGTGTCCTGCTACCCCTCCCTCCGACTCCACTCATTCTATAGGTCTTTCATGAGAAGAGGTACAACACAACATGTCAGTCCAACTCCAAGGTCGGCCCAAATCTGGCTCCCTGTTTCTTGTGCTAAACCTCTATTCTGCCTGTTGAGGATGATTTATTAGAAAATGTCCATTGTGCTGCCTGGGGACAATTCATAGCCTGAATGCTGGCTGGCACAGGAATCTGCAGGAAGTACATCCCCCCAGCCTCGACTGATTGTGCCTTGAGTTATCGGTGGGTGCATGTGGCACTGGCTGTCCCTCAGGAGAGGCTCCTCAGGTAGCCCAGAAGTCCACACAGTATGGCACGCTCCCTGTCACCACGTGCCAGGCTGGCTAGCTGTGCTGCAGTGGAGATGGGCCTCTCTGGCCTGTGCAACTGCTTTCCATTTGCCAAGGTGAAATTAAAACATCTTGCTGGTTCTCAGTCATGGTCAGTCCTTCCAGGTACTTCCACAGCTGGACAGGACAGTGAGAGCAGGACCTTCAGGGCTGCAGGGCAAGCTGGAGGTCCTCCTGGACAGAGGAGCACTGGAGCCCATGTCATACAGATTTATACACTGCTTTTGTGCAGCCCACGATTGCACTGAATACGGGTGGCTGTGCCCACGCAGAGCAGCTGCCTCCCTGCTAAAACAATAACTGGCCACAGCGCAGACACTGCTTCCTCTCTATGTGTTTACCATGTTATCCTCTGAGTTCATGGTAATGCACAAATGTTCCCAGTCAAAATGTCCCCAACCTCCTCCTCATGCCCTGCCTCAACTTCCCCCCTGCAGCGAAGCTTTCAGGTTAATTTACATGGAGGTGCCTCTTCCCATGATTTCAGTTCCTGTAGCAGGGATGTTTAGATTTCCAGGCACAGTCACTGCTGCTCACCAACTAGGAAATCGTACTCATCTTGCCCTCCAGCACGTATGCATAAATTGGCTTGTTTATCTAACCTACCTCCTGGGCACTCATTTTGAGCTTTGGGTTTATCAGGCACCAATTATAATTTCTCAGAGCCAGGACAATACCCAGCCCAGTGGGTAAGCCTGGTTGTGGCCAATACGTGCAACCACAATATGAACGTTATTTTAGTAATGTCTTGCAAGGACAGGGCTGCACATTTAGTGAGGGACCACATGCTTCTGGTCTCCTGGACAAGAAGCCCCCTGATTTTTTTGGTAATACAAACGGACTATAGCATTCAGGTCTGACAAGAAGCCGATTCAGGTCAGCATTTGGACCAAGGCTAGGAAGAGCTGCAAACAAAGACTGTTGTAAAAAGTCATATACCAGCTTCCTCCTTGCAAATGAATACACCAGTGTTTAGCAAAAGTCCTGGCTTCCAGATGGACTTTGATTGTATTACCTGCAGCTGGCACCATTAATATCGTCATTCTACCTCCTGACAGAGTTCCTGAACAATAGCCAGAAACTCTTAAGAAAAATCGTTGAGCAAGCATGAACACTGCCAGTAAGTTATCCAGGCAGATATAAAACCACAGAAATAATTATTTCCCTGGATGTATGAGTAGTATGACTATGAGTCAAAGAGAATGGATTCAGGTTTTTGGGGAAGCAAGGGTGGGCTTTTATTTTGAATCAACCCAGGGTGGGAGACCTGGACGCTTTAGACATTTTACAGAGTATGAAGACCATCCCTGTGACTGCTCTTGGTGTTTGCCTGATAAATGACCTCATGTGGGCACACAGCCTCAATAGCTTCTTCACTCTTATACAAGAAGTAGTGACGATTGTTGCCCTGACCAGTCTGTCCCACAGGGAGGGGAGAAGGACTGAAATGAGTCATGCGCACCTGGGGAAGTGGAATAGAGGAGCAGCAGCAAAGACTGGTAGAGGTTCTATCAGACATTCCCTAATAGGAAAGAAATACCAAATTAATAACCTTTTTTTCCCCACCACTGGATCTCTCGATCATGGCAGCTGAGATGTTTCTAAAGTAAGGTCTTAAGCTTAACCACATTTTCCCTACAACAAACATCCAGAGTCACAAGCAATTCAGTTCATTTCATATTGCAAAAGTGAAATATGAAGCCATCGCAGAGCTGCAGCGTAAAGATCTAACTGAGAGTAAAGAAGGATTAAGGCAATCTCAGCTTCAGAATAAAAAAAGGTACACTGTTACTGTTTGCTGGCAGAGAGATGAGTCAGTATTTGGCTGAAAACAGAAAGAACAGGAAGAATCTCAAGGCACTGAGGATGAAGTCCTGAAACTGCTGAAAAAGACAACAATCTAATCTAGAGTGTCTATGTCAGAGACTCCCACAGCACACGTACAATAACACAGAGAGCTGGGATCTGCCAGCTCGAGCAGCCAGAGTCTCCAAACAAATGAACAGAGTTTCAAGCTTTTCCAGAAACACACCGGAGCCCTGGAAAAGCTTGATCCTGGCAAAGTGAGCATTACAGAAAGCGGCAAGCAGCCCCAGGGAGACATACCCAACACCCAACCAAACACACTCTGAGCATGGGCGGCGTGTCCCCAGAGTACGGGGTTGCTGAACCTGTGCGTGTCTGAGGAGGGGACACGGTACAGCCCAAAATATCTTGCGCTGCGCAGACTGTGAGGGCTCCACAAGTCCCCAGACCCATACAGATCCCTCACTGCTGTAGTGGCAGTAGTGTAGCAAAGAGGATCTGGTGCCAGGGAAGCCCCAGACACTGGTCTTCGATGGCACCGATGGTTGCTCATAGTTTTATCAAATCCTTCTTCAATTTGGCCTGATCAGCTTCCAAAGAATTAGAAATAGCATCTGCCCATTCAGAGGAGAACAGGTGCCATGACGGTCACTAGTGGGAAATGCTGAGAAAGGTACTGTGAAGACAGTTTGAAGAAGCAGAAGCTACCCTCCAAGCCAAACCAACAGCTTCTGCTTTCAGGAGGAATCATGTAGTAATTTACTGGCATCCATAGGTTTACAGTGTTTCACAAAAATTATCTCCCAGTTGAGGCTGCTGAGCATGAGCCGTGAATACAGTTCTGGGCACCAGAGCATCCACACCAGATACCAAGAAGTTGTTGAAAACCTCACCTTACACAAGTCCTCTTGAAGCACTACCGGACCCGGTTCAAGCAAAGCTGGCCTCAGGCAGGTACACTGCTGCAGCAGACACTCCTCCGGGCAGCCACACGGACCTCTGTGCGTTCACCTACTGGCTTTCTGCCTTTGGGCTGGGCGCTCACACACGCGTGTATTCAGCTCTTACCTACACCCGCTCCCTCCCGACCTCTTCATCTGTGTGTCCCAGCTCCAAGACTACTCTACAGTGCCCGCCTCCTTTGACCAGCCTTATACTTTAAAACTCCACCCTGCACTAAGCAGCAAAGCATGGGAATGGCAGTTTCCTGTGAGGGCACGTACGACCAAACGTTGCTAGTGAAGGAGAAGGGCCAGGAAATTCATGAAGGAAACCAAGGGGTGCTTTTATGTTAACTCCCATTCCAAGCCCCAAAAGAGGTTGCTCGCCGTAAAAGGAGGAACAGGGATGTCTGTGGAGCATCAGAGCAAAGGACAAACAGGAACCCTTGTCGCCAGGAGGACCAGCTTGCCCACCACGAGTGCAGAGGTAGGGCACATTTGCCTACCATTGCTCTGGCTGCTTGCCGTGTAATCAGCAGATGCAGATTCACATAAAACCATTTTGACTCTTTTCTGTCCGTACCTTGCTCAAGCTAAACTTTTGGGGGCTGGGAAAGAAAATTGTGTGAAAGGAGAAGCGATGAAAGGAGCAGCTGGACTTGGCCTGTTAATGATTCACGAGGAGCTGGAGCTGCAGTGGGGCTGTGCCAGGTGAGGTAGTGAAGCAGGGCAGCCCTGGGCTCAGGAGAAACGCGTGGTGTTCTGCAGCCATGCAGAGACAGTTGTTTTGGGCCATCCCTATTCCCAGTCTCATAATTTCTCTCACACCACCGGAGAGATATAGACCTTCTCTTGATGGTGTCCCCTGTCCCCAAGGATCCCACTGAGCCGCTCTGAGGGGCAGGTGAAGTATAGGAGACAGCAGGAGCAAAAAATCTGGACAAGGCTGGTCCTTTCAGCAGGAAGGACAACTTGAATGGGGCAGGTCATGTTCCCTTTCACTCACTACACTGCAAACACAGACGGTCAAGCCCTGGTAACCCAGGGCTGGGAAACAAACTGAGAAGCTGGCAGTGGTCCAGGTAGGGCCAGGTATGGCACCTCCATAGGTGCTCTCCTAGCCCACAACCAACTGGAGTACACGATTCACCTCTCTGAATACAGGTGTCCAAAATAACCTAGTGAGTGATGCCCTAAAAGTTTCTATTTCTTTCTGTTGGCTGTGACAGGAGTGGGGGGTGATGTTTGTGAGCAGACATCTCCACTGAAACTGTCTAAAATCAGTTGAGATCAAGCTTGTCTTCGCATTCACAGCATCTAGATATATTTTTTTTCCTATTCACTTGTCCAATCGTGTTTTGAACTCACACATACTTTTGCATCAACAATATTCCCTGGCAATGAGAATATGTTTGGCTGTGTGTTGTGAGAACTACTTCCCTCTGTTTTGAAACTGGCGTATAAAAACTATATTTGGCAATACCAGCATTTTTTAAATCAAGAGAGACAATGAGTAGTTTCTCCCCATTCACACTGTTTAAGCTACACGGGATTTTAGCATCCGCTCTTATATGCCCTGTTGAACATACCTCGTCTTATACGAGGTTGATATCTAAAGCAGCTTGGGGGAATCATGCTGTGAAGTCTCTGTCTCTTTTCACTGATTGCAAAAGGAGCCCACACAACTAAATCAGAGGAGGAATATTAACCCTAGAGCCATCTGTCACATGCAAGATAGACCACAACCCTGTGCAACATACAAGGGGACTCAAGGAAACTCAAGGAAAGGCCTTCATACGTTCTGCATCCTTCTCCCCTCTTCTTCAAGACATCAACTTGTCTGTCTCATGAGCCTTGCCCTTGGGAACACCTTCCTTTGGAGACAGCAATGTTCACTCACTGACAGGCAGAGATTAGAGACCATTGTCTTGTAAAATTAGAGGGGAAGTTTGCCATCTTGCAATGTCCTGTCTGGCTCCGATCACAGCTGAAAAACATTTAGACTCTCAAACACAAGGACTGATGCCCTGCCACCTTTTCTTGCCTTCCTGGCAGAAAGACAGATTTAGGAGACTACAAGTCTCTGTCATGGGTTTGTTAATATTTATTTAGAGGGATCAGTTAGTTCCAGGTGTCACAATACACCTGAAAGAGGTGTGTGATGGGACGGCTCACATTTCCTGCATCCCAAATGTATGACATTGGGGACTGCCGTAAGAGTCAACGCGGCGACTATGCAGTCATGAATCCTTGCCACAGATATAGATCTCCCTTTCAAAGCAGAGGGAGTTTAGGTGTTTTCTGGCTGGCACCACCAAAGCTGTAAAGGAAGTTTATGGCTCTAGGAGATTTGAGTGCAACAGAAAGCTACCACGTGGCTACTCGCATAAGGGCCATGCATGATCTACTATACTGAGTTCGAGTTCTGCTGCATTCTTGTGTTTTGAAAAGCACAGGAAACACCCTGCTCCTTGCAGAAAAGAAACTTGACCATAATCTTAAAAAAAAAAAAAAGTCTGTAAGTCTGTATGTCAATTGCTCCTCGCTTTCAAAGGGGCAAAGGCAAAAAAGCAGAACTCTGGCTTTCGGAAAGAGGGTTTTTGCCAGGGATGCTGTATATGTTGCTTTAGAAATCTTCACTCCCAGTGGGTGGAAATGAAATGCAGCAGTCAGGCAAGCAGCAGAATGCACAGGAGCAGAGGTGCAATGGCTATGCTAAATTCCAGTCAGAGTAGTTCCTCCTGAGCCAGAGCAGGACTTGCCCCATGTGGCTTCCAGAACAAGGAAAGATGAGACAAATGACTGATATGACGTCCTATATGAGACATCTCCCCAAGGGCAGGCTGGTGTGTTCCTGCACTCGTTTTGCCATAGCCTTTCCTTTCTGTTTGAGAGAGGTTTTAAAGTTGTATTTTGATTCAGAATTAGTTTGAGATAAATACACTTGTCTGAATTGGCCCAGGAGGACCCAAAGTTGGTGTAGGCAAGAGCAAGGATGGTGGGTGACTCCCTCCCTCCCTGACCCTGTTTGCAGCAGCAGTATCTCTGTAAATCGATCTCTTAGAAAAGAGCCAAGTTACCCTTACAAGCAAGGAACTTCTCTATTGTCAGTCAGCAAATGCTCCAGGAAACACACTGGAGCAGAAAGATTGGTAAGACCAACAGCAAAGAAGAGAGTGTGATTAACATACAAAGCCAATAGCTAGAAACCACAAATTTGAGAAACACAGGTTCTAGATAAACTGGGTAACTGAATTTCCATGTGGAAACTTCTACATGTATGGAAACAAAACCTGAGGTTATGCATAGCAATAGATCAAAAATATTCTTCAGATGAAGAAACCATTTTTTCCACTTTCAGTGTGGGAAAGGAGGCAAAAAGAAAAAAAAAAAAAAAGAAGAAAAAAAAAGAGATGAAACAGTAGAGCCTAGAATATCAAAGCAAATGAAAAAGTTTGTTTCCTAAGTGTCTCTTCACAAAACGAAGCAGCAGAAAGATAAAAATATAATTGTCTTCACAAAAACCAAGCAGCAAAAGTGGTAATTAATGCCTCCGTTAAAGACAGCACTTACATATCACTCTGGAGGTGGTACAGCTTTTTCAAATTTAAGAGATCTTTGTGCACATACTTTTTAATGTCTTTATCAATGACATGGGCAACTGGACAGAGTGCACTCTTGACAAGTTCACAGACAAAAGAGAGTTGCCTTCCCCTCTCAGAGGAGGGACAGCATCTGAAATACCAGGTGCAGTAGAAGACAGATATTGGCCTAGTGGAGTGGGCCCAGAAGAGACCACACAACAGGGCGGCACAGAAGATGCCCAGGGAGAGGCTGAGGAGGTGAGATCCATTTAGCTGGGAGAAGACAAAAGGAGCTGTTTGACACTGCCTAACAGGAAGGTGCAGAGAGGCTGGAGCCGGACACTTCTCAGAGGTGCACTGGATGAGAGACTCAATATAAGAAGAAAATTTTTCACTGTGAGGGGGAGTCAAACCCTGGAACAGGAGACCAGACAGGCTGGAGATCTCCATTTCTGGAGATATGAAAACTCATTCAGACAAGACCCTTGCTCTATTTGACCCGGTTGTAAATTGGGGGTCGGACAATAAAGCCCCATAGGTCTCTTTCAAACAAAATTACTCCATAATTTTGTGATTTCAGATGGCAGCAGCAAGACTTGAGTGAAATGGATCTTGTCTTAGGGACAGTCTTTCCTGGCTGGTCTCCAAGGAGGGAGTGTTGATCTGCTTGAGGGTCAGAAGGCTCTACAGAGGGATCTAGACAGGTTGGATCAATGGGCCAAGGCCAACAGGATGAGGTTTAATAAGGCCAAGTGCTGGGTCCTGTATTTCATTCACAACACCCCTGGGCAGCGCTACAGGCTTGGGAAAGAGTGGCTGGAAAGCTGCCCAGCAGAAAAGGACCTGGGAGTGTTAGTGGACAGCTGGCTTAACATGAGCCAGCAGTGTGCCCAGGTGGCCAAGAAGGTCAACAGCATCCTGGCTTGTATCAGGAATAGCGTGGCCAGCAGGAGTAGGCAAGTCATCGTGCCTCTGTACTCGGCACTGGTGAGGCCTCATCTTGAGTACTGTGTTCAGTTTTGGGTTTTGGGCTACAGGAAGGATATTGAGCTGCTGGAGCGTGTCCAGAGAAGAGCCACCAAGCTGGTGAGGGGTCTGGAGAACAAGTCATATGAGGAGAGGCTGAGGGAAATGGGCATGTTTAGTTTGGACAAGAGGAGGCTGAGGGGAGACCTCATTGCCCTCTATAACTACCTGAAAGGAGGTTGCAGAGAGGTGGGGCTTGGCCTCTTCTCCCAAGGGAAAAATGACCGGACAAGAGGAAATTGTCTGAAGTTTTGGCAGGGGAGGTTTAGATTAGATATTAGGAAGAATTACTTTACTGAGAGGGTGGTCAGGCACTGGAACAGCCTGCCCAGGGAGGAGGTGGAGTCGCCATCCCTGGAGGTATTTAAGAAATGTGTAGATGTGGCTTTTCAGGGCATGCTCTAGTGCCCGAGATTATTGGGGTGTGGTGGGGTGTTGTATGTGGTGCTGTTCGTATGGGGCTTGGCTGGTGGGTGTTGTGTGGTGTGGTGTTTGTTGTGGGTGTGGTGGTTTGGTTTGTTTTGGGTTTGTTTGTTTGTTTGTTTTTTTGCTGTGTGGTTGGACTCGATGATCTCAGAGGTCCCTTCCAACCACCGAGATTCTGTGACTGTGATTCTGTAATATCACCTACCTTTCCTTTACCTGAGTTAACATTACTATGTTCTCCTTACTTCCAACCCATCTACTAACTGATTCTATTTTCCTTAATCTGCCTTTTCATTTTCTTATGGAATGACATAAAAAGATCATGTTCACCATGGCTGGATAGATAAGACAGCTCTGCCCTAGAGCTGTCTGTTCAATAGGAGGAAGGAGGGATCTGTAACCCAAGAAGAACCTTACTGGTCCGTGTTCTCATGTCTTACAAAATAATGCAATGGCAACACTCATTCATTGGCTTCATTGTACTATAGCACTCTAATGTCTCAAGTAGTGAGGGAATGGGAAAATGGGAAAACAGGAGAGGAAGAAGCTTGTGTAAATAAGGCTCTAATTAAGAAGTCACATAATACTTTACCAAAACATTACAGAAAAGAGAAATATAGTAAGAAAAAAAAATTATTTATTCAGCTTTTGAATTAATTTCACTGGTCAGCTTCTGCCTCTTTTACGTATGTAGGCAGCCTAAAACCAGAAATCAGCACGTGGACTGAAACTTGGACTAGAACAGCTGGTCTAGAGTTGAGAGGAACAACAGCAATAAGCAGAGATGAAGCATAGTCCACACAGTACCCTAGAGTGCAGAAGACCCTACGCTAGCACCAAGTGCTTCTGTCAGGCATCCAGGAAATAAATCATTCAGACCTATTGACAGCACCTGTTTGCTCTGGCAAGGCTTCAGGGAACACTGACCCAAGCCAAATAAGGTAATGAAAGACAATATATGGCAAAGCAAAGGGCTAGCAGAGGTCTGGGTTCCCAGATCCATGAGAGAGCCCATGCCAGACATCAAACCACAAGGAAGATCTAGGGTTTCTGCCCCTCAGGAGGCTTCCCCAGAGCCAGGATCCCAGGCTGAAGGCCAATATAGAAGATATAACCCAAATTTTGTTGTGATGAGTTGTTAAGCTTTGCTAGCCAACTTTCAGGTGCCTTCCAGCTACTTGGAACCCTGCTCAGGCTGTGTCTTTCACAGCTGTCCTGTCAATAGCAAGACTTTGCCCATGCTGAGCCTTCCTTCTCCTCCAAGGCTCCTCTACCCTCTCACAATCAGGTTTGCAAAATCCCTCTCAGTCACCTCGAGAAGGTATTGTCTCCCAGCCCACTGCTACCTCCTCCTCTGACACTCACAGTCTCTCCCTGACCACTTCTCCTCCTTTTGGAAACCTATCCATGCCTCCCTTTGCCGTGCACCAAGTATTTCCTTCCTCCAACCCTTGCGGAAAATGCCACCAGAGCAGGTCAGCTCATTTGGCCTCTGACAGGCCTGCACAGCCTGAGAAAATGAGGTTATGTGCCAGCCCTCACATACAAAAGGCTTTGTGTGGACACCTTCCCCTGGTGTCCTCCTCCCACTCCCACATGATGCTTGAGCCTCACCTGAGCTCCCTGCAGGCTGGGTGCTGGTTTGTCAGGGCCTTCCTGGTCATTCCTGGGTTTCCCACCTGCAACCATCCTGGGTCCAGGTCAGGGCAGGTCACATCTTCCCACTGCAGATGTATAGAGTGGCTACACGCTGGTGGAGACAGCCAGTTCACACAGGCTCTGACGGCTAAGGGCCATGGACCCAAGGCAGGAAGACACTCAGGGACTGTTCCAGACTGCAGCCCCACCACGGGGCAGTGAGGACTGGTGGAAGCGAATGGGAGAGGGCAAGGCCAGGGGCAGGGCTGCATCCAGGTTCCTGAGGCACCTGGGGAAGTTGATGGCCTCACTACCGGCAGCTGTGATTTACCCCAACCTCCCCTTTCTGCTGCAGTTTGCCCTGCTGGGCTGGGTCCTGCTGCCAGCTCCTTTGGAAGCTGAGGACTTCTACATTTCTCCTTCATTTGCCCATGAGCTGAGAAGTTCCTTCCTTTCTGAAGGAAAGCACTAGGCATGTGGTTGCCTCACTGCCTAGATCCCAATATCTGGAGTAGTTCAACCACCTCCTAGAAATGGCCAGTCCAAACAGTGTAGAGAAGAGCAGAAGGACATTGAAAGCCTGCTCCAGGGTGTGCAGCTGGTGCTTCCCAGCTAAGACAGGGAGAATGGTTGTGGCTCAGCCATAAAGGCACTGAGGGATTTCTAGCAGAGCACTACAGACCTTGTCAGAGCATGTGAGGGAGAGCAGCTTGTGTCTTGGCTTCTTCCTTGGTCTCAATGCTGAAGGGGCTTTCTTTGGCACAATGCACCTCCAAACACCAGCTTAGGCTAGTTGGTATGGCTGGCAGGGTGCTCTAGGCTACACCCACACTGTGACGCAAAGCATCTGCCTGAAAAAAGATATTAGCACGGTTGTGGTTTCATGCTATTTTGCTATTGCAGCAGGGAAAACCTGGGTGCGGTCCAAAGGCAGTGTTATATTTGCAAAAGATGTCTATAGAGGATATGGACTTGAGAAATCAAAATATCGTAGGATTTATGGGCTATATATATCTCTGGCTCTGACTCTCTCAGCATCCCTGGCCAAATACTGCTGGGCTAAGATGAAACAGAACAGTGTTAATGATTGCAGAATATTTGCGTGTTAACAGGCACCTCTGAGGCCACTCTGAAAGGAAAGGGGTCCGTGAAGGGAGAGTGGATTGAAAGGTGCAGCTTTCTCTAAAAGTGCAGATTGTGTGTTGATCCTTATAAGTATCTCAAGGGGCAGTTTGAGGGAGGATGGAGCCAGACTCTTTTCAGTGGTTCCCAGTGACAGGACAAGGGGCAATGGGCACAAGCTGGAACATAAGAAGTTCCATTCAAATATGAGGAAGAATTTCTTTCCAGTGAGGGTGACAGAGCCCTGGAACAGGCTGCCCAGGGAGGGTGTGGAGTCCCCTTCTCTGGAGATTTTCAAGACCCACCTGGATGCAGTCCTGAGTGATGTGCTCTGGGCAACCCTGCTTTGGCTGGGGGGTTGGACTAGATGATCTCTAGAGGTCCCTTCCAACTCCAACAATTCCGTGATTCCATGTGAAGAAGCTCAGGTTATTTGGCTCTATTTGGAGGCCTCATGGCATGAAACCTCTGAAGCCATCTACCATTCCCCCACAGCCCCAGCTTCTCTCTCTTCCTTTTTGTTCTGGGATTGCTTTCTTTGAAGGGAAAGGTGTAGCTATTCTCATTGAAGGGAAAGGGTGTATCTGTACTCATAGATACCTACCCTCTATCAGAGTACTGGTATCTAGACTTTGTCCTGGGCAGGGGAAGGGCAGGCAATGAGACACATCTACAGAACGTGGCAGGAAGTCTGGCAGTGTGTAATCTAGAGCTGGCTGACTTTTTCTGTCACTGAGGAGGCAGGGCTGACCTGTGGATCCTGGTTCTGGAGGAGGAAAGGTGAACAGAGCTGTAGGTGATGATGAGAGGCACCCCGTAAGTCACCCCTCTGCCAGCTTCAGAGACGGCTCCCCGAGCAGCTCCGCAGAACAGGTGGTCCCATGGGCGTTACCTCTTCTTGACAGCACAGGCACTCCTGTTTCCACAGATTCAACAGGCACTAGGACACCACTTCCTTGTTACTTCATGGAGCTGACATATTCAGCAATCAGTAGGCCTGGCACGGCTGGCATGTCATGAACACCCCGTACAGTATGAACGTTATCTCTTCTTGACCACACAGGCACTCCTCATGTTTCCACAGAGTGAACGGACACCAGGCCACCGTTTCCTTATTATTTTATGGAGCTGACGTACTCAGCAATCATTTACTCTGGCACTGCTGGCGTGTCACAAACACCCCATACGATGCCCCAGTCTTGCATGCTTAGGCACCGGCACTTGGCATGGCTGGCTCCAGTGCAAGGGCAGTGCCATGCCGCACCAGTGGGCACCAGCACCCCCAGCTCTGTCAGGGGCTACAGGGAAGGGGCTGTGAAGGCCAAGGGGTGGGTGAAGGCTGGGCTGTTCTGTGGGGAAGGCGCCAGGCCCCCCCACAGTGAGCTTCTGCCATCAGCGGGGCAGGAGCGGCCATCCCTGGTCTGTGCCAGGCTTACAGGGCCCATCCTGCCCTCAGGGCCTTCTCAGGTGCCCTTGAGGGCCTGAGGTGCTCCCACCATGCCCCTGCTGGGGACAGGGACAGCACAGCACCATGGGCTAAGTGAAGGACACCCACACAGACCTGGCGCAACAGGAGCAGAGTGCAGAGACTGGCACGTCAGAATGTTTATTAATAAAAAAAAGTCACAATAACTTACTCCCTTTGTCACACAAAGGGCTCGGTATAAAGAGCTCTGGTCTCCTAAGATAACACAGGTAAGTGAGAGGTGGGTACTTTTCTTTTGTCCTCCGAGACTGTGGCCTCCTGTCCCCAAGGGGAAGGGCAGCCAGCACAGGAGCTACTGGGCACGAGGGTGCTGGGCTGTGGGGCTGGGCACAGGAGCAGCCATGTGCCCCTGCCCGCAGCTGCTCTGCAGGCAGCAGGGACCAACACAGGGTGCAAATACAGAGTATGCGGAGACCACGGGCACGGGGTGCCAGAGGGTGTGCAAGCTGCAGTGGAGGAGGAGAGAGAAGCGGCTGCTTCTTCCCATAGTGCTGAGGGGTGTGTGGAGAATAAAAAGTGCAAGCAGCCGCGGTCCTGCTGCTTCAGACAGGGGGATGCGGGGCTGGCTGGAAGCAGCCCTGCCTGCCTGGATGCTGCCTCACACAAGGTCTAACCTGGCAGAGGCAGGAGGCCACCTGTGGCTACTTGTCACACTCCAGATCCTGGGCACCCTCAGCACCCTGGTAGTGCATCTCACAGAACTCCTGAATGCGACTGCAGGCCTCCAAGATCATTTCCGCAGGCACGGTGATCACCACGCGGAAGAAGTTGGGGTACTCAAAGCACTGAAAGAAGAAAGGATAGCTGTCAGACTACCCGGAAGAGTGGTGTGGTTTCAGAGCTCTGCCTTGGGTCCATGTGCTGTGTCAGCAAGTGAAAATGGTCAGTGTCGGACAGACTGGAGGACAGGGCTGGGCTCTTGCTCCCTTAGACTGCATTTTCTGCTCCAAGCAAGCCACCTCCAATCTCTATCTGTGTAGACACGATGCTGTGAGGGTGACAGGCCAAAGGACTCTGTACAGACTACGCAGGACCCACACAATGGGCTGGAAGAAGCCAGGGAAGGAGAGGGCTGGAGAGTATCCAAGGCCCCATCTGTATTCAGTGGTGGAAGTGGAGCTGGAGGAGGTGGGCACAGACATCCTCAGCCTGCAGTAGTGGAAGACTGGAAACAGGGCAAAGGAAGGAACATAGGTGGCAGCAGTCCCAGGCCTCTAAGGGAACAGCTTCAGCCAGGAGGTGTGGTGGTACGTAGAGGTCAAGGATAGAGCTCTGCTAACTTGAGAAATTCAGAGCAAGCCTGGAGCTGGGAAGATCCCAGCAGCCTGACTGAGAGCTATTAGTGAGCCAGAGACTGCCTGTCCCCATCCCTACATGCTGCCCTTGCTCACAGCCAGCACACACACACCATTATAGACCACGGATGCTGCACACACAGCTCCCAACCTGTCCCCAGAGCTCAGGGCTGCAAATCCCTGTTGCTTCTCTCCCCATGTTTTGGCCCCACGGCTCCGTGGGGCTCTCAGTGTTAGCCTCACCGTGGCTGGCAAGCAGAACACAGACTGTTCTGAGATGAGTCGCTCGGTGAACTCCACATCGTTTTCAAACTCAGGGAAATGCTCCATCTCAATCTCAACCTGCAGCAGAGGGATGTAACATGGCAATCAAGGGCACCAAAACTGTCTGCAGTGTCCCTGCTTATCCACAGGACCCAAAAACTTCCCAGTCAAGTGCAGCTGTCTGCCCCCAATTTTTGCTCATAATTTGGGCTGACTGGAATGTAAGACACAAACAGAAACATGTAAGTGAAAATTGGGATTTCTTTAAGAAATATTCATTAACTGCCTAAAGCTGGAATTGGACTTAAGGACAACTTCAGTAAAAAAATTGATGGCAAAGATACAGTAACCAATAAGAACTGAAAAGGAATAAGTAAGATATTGAAAAAGAGCTTGGGAGAGAACTCTAGTCAATATACATTAACAATTCTGCCATGCAAGAAATTCATATGGTAAGAAAAAGATAAACTGTTTGGTTTTAAAAAAAAAGAAAGGTGCGGGGTCTAGAATATAATGAAAAAAAAAACTCTTGCAGGATGATATAATTGGTAAAATGACACAGAAATGCTGAAATGTTCAATAAATATTTCTGCTCTGTATTTGGAAAGAAGGAGACTGTCCCTCTATCACATAAGGACAGTGATATCCTGGCCATTTGTTTACAACCAAAGGTTATTTTAAACATCTTGTGAAAATATTCTTAAACAGACCAAAAATCCTGAAAGAGGTAGTGGAAGAAAAATTTCACCAGATGATTTAGTTTGAAATAAATGTTTAGATACTGCATAAATACAATAGGTGTGAAATGCTCAAACCTCTGCTATGTGAGAAGTGCACAAAGTATTCTGGCCTTCTAAAGAGACCAAGGGATGAGTAAGTATTCTGGCCTTCTAAAGAGACCAAGGGCACCACCACCACACAGGGCAATGTGAAAATGCATGGTAATGGAGAGCTGGTGCCAAGCACCAGTCTGAAAGCATTGGCAAGCACTGGCAACGAGACCAGTGTGAGCATTGATGACCTCGAAATGGTATGTCACCCTCCTCACTTACCATCAGGTACATGGCTCCGGCCGGCCGGACAGGCTGGAGGCCAGGGATAGCTGATAAAGCGGCATAACAAAGGTCAGCATTGGACTGAAAAGCAGAAAGGAGAAATTTCAAAACAGGAGAATTTCCAAAACAGGAGAAATTCCAGGAAGCAGTTCAGCAAATGGAAGCCAAGCTCTGGACCAGGACTGTAAACAGGTCTGCCCACTGCAAATAAAGGGACATCAAATGCAAACAGCATGGGTGACCATGGCCTTGAGGACAGCAGGTATAACTGAGCTGAGCTCAGCAAGTCAGTGCCACACAGCCCATCCCCTGGGTCATCAGCTCCAGCTGCACGCCTGGGCTGCCTGAAACTTGTCACAGCCAACATTTCTGCCCCAGTTACCATGTCTCCTGCTGGAACTGGATTTGTTGGGCTCTCCTACTCCCAGACAGAACTGCACCTTGGAGCAGGGATGATAAGAGACTGAGATACAACTTGCTCCAATCTGTGAACAAACTGTGCCATCCTGTTACAGCCTGTTTACCTTGAGCATGCTGAGGGTGTTGTGGTAGAACTCAGGAGGTGTTCGCTGCAAGATACGTTCCAGTGCTCCTTGGACAATTGTACAGGGCCCTAGGATCCTTTGACTCAGTCTTAGAAGGCCATCCCTGATCTGAAAAAAAAAAAAAAGGTGATATTTGCAGCTCAAACTGTGTTTCCTGGGAGGAAAGGAACAGCTCCAAGGCCTACTCTCTGCATTTTTAGAGCTGCCCACACCCCTCTCTTCAGTGAGCACACAGAATAATAAAGAACATTTGTATGACATGTGTATGTCAGGTATTTGCAGATTATTTACAGTGTCATTCTCTGTTGCTCAGTTGCAGATTGTAATGTCACAGACAATCTTTGGAGCCTCCCAATCTGATTCAAACTGGGCTGGAATATAGCTAATACAAATAAAGCCAGAGCTGTTCCAAATACCACTTTGCATTTCCCTTAGGTTTGGGCCCCTCTTTCAAAGCCAGGTAGGGACAACCAATATTAGCTCACTCAGTTGGTCCTCTCTTCTCCCTCTTCCTCTGCAGAAAGCCCTCTGGGAGGAAAGGTCACAGCAGTAGTTGGTTGTTCTTGTAACACAGCTGAACAAATAGCCAGATAAAGCACTAGCAGCACTGCAAGGTGCTTTGTACTTACTTTTAAGAGAAACCATATAAGAGCACATAGAGACCACACATGGACTCCACATGCTGGATAAGCCATGCAATACCTTCAGAGCACACTGGAGCTATCTGAGAAGAGAAAGAATTAGAAGCACACAAAAAGGACAAGGCACATGTGAAGGAGCAGCAGAGCCAAGGAGCGTGTTACAGTGTAGATGTGGGTAGAAAGCCACGTATGGAAGCAGATTGAGCCAGGGAGGGACATGAAAAGCCTAGAGGTGCAGAAAAGCATATAAGCAATTGGGTAACACCCATGTGAGAGCAAAAGAGCAGTACATGCCTGTATCAGTTAAAGCCCTGGTGATCCACACACTGAAGCCACTGCAGGTCTGCTGCCGTGACAGTGACACTCAGCAGTTCTCACCTCATTACCAAAGATGTCTCTCCTATCATGAATTAGGATCCAGCCCATCCGCCAGCCTGGGACTAGCCACCGCTTTGCCAAGCCACCACAGGACAAGATGGGCACGTTGGTGCTGAGGGTTGCAATGGGTTCATACTTGCAGTCAGCAAACACCTGTGACAGGAGGCTGTGTTAGGGTTGTCCCTGCCTCTTGTTGTGAGAGCTTTTGGGGGTGCGCGTGAGGTACAATAAGAAGGGAGACAGGGAAGTGATGGGAAATGGATGGTGAAAGCTCCCATGGTATGAACATATTAAGTGCCCTCCCATGAAAGTGAGCCATTTGGGAAGTGGAAAGGAGCTGGACACGAGAGGTAACCCCAGGACTGCACACCACAGGACTGGGAGCTCCTGACATGGACCCAGGCACAGTACATGGGAGTGGAGTGGAACTGTTGCTCACCCCTGGAGACCCAGCTGCCATGGCCAAAGGGCCAGTGCATCAGAAAGGACAGGTAGCATGGGGGTGCAAAGGATCGCAGCTAATACTCACCATGTCTCCGTAGATCTCGTCAGCAAGGATGGGCACGCACTGTCTTGATGCCACTGTGGAAGAGAGGGCATTCAGCCTGGCCACCCTGCATCCTCCATGGCAGCAGACCTGCCCTTTGCTGCAGGGCTTGGCAGGGATCTGAGGGAAACTCTGTCCCAGGGCAGAGGGTCCCTATCCTTCTCCTACAGACTGTTCATTTGGAGAGCCCAAGCACTGGAGATACCTGCCCGAGTCTAGTTCTGCTCTCACCGGCAGGGGCAGGCAGCACAGCCCTCCTGCTGACAGGTCAGGGCTCGGGAAGCGTAGGACTCCCTGTGAACACTCTCCCTCTGTGGAGGGAGAAATGAGCAGTCCAAGCCACACAGAGCGTTTGAGGAACAGCAAGACACTCTTTGAAGAACACTTTGCATGTTCTTGCTCAGATAAGGCAACACTTCACACTGAGAAAGCCCTGCTTCCTGAGCTGGACTCAGTCATGAGAAGAAAAGCAAAGCCCTGGGATATGGTGCTGCAGTGATCGAGACATGGGCAATGTGGGCAGACACCAGACTGCAACCATGGCCCAGGCAGGCTTACCTGCCAGGATCTTCTGGAGGTGGCTCTTGCTGAACACAGAGCCACAGGGGTTCGATGGGTTGTTCACAATGAGGCAAGCTGTCTTCTCATCCACCAGAGACTCCAAGTGCTCCAAATCAATTTCCCAGCCCTTCTCTGGCTAGTGAAGTGAAGAGAAGAGGAAGTAAGAGCTGAGGAACTGGACTTGCCACATAGAGTGAGATGTGGTGGTGCCCAGGATTGCTCAGGGCACCTTCACCCACTTCCCAGGCAGGGCCAGGGTATTTCTGAGGGGCAGGAATGTCAGGGCTGCGCCTTCCACACCTGCTACATCTTACCAAGAGGTTGTAGAGTTTGACTTCAATTCCCATAGACAACGCCAGAGTCTTGTAGAGGGAGAAGCCAGGCCGTGGCACCAGGATGTTCTGGCCTGGGTTGGCCAGCACTGCCAAGGCAAGCTCTATGGCCTGGCTGCAGCCACTTGTTAAGATGACGTCCTGCGAAGAGCACACAGGAGTCAGCAGAAAGCACAGCCACTCTTAAGTGCCCCAGCCACGTGGGAGTGACATAATGCCCAGGGTCTGCCAAGTGAGAGCTTCCCAGCCAAAAACACAAGTCATGAGCCTGACTGAGAGCAGGAAACCTCCAACAGCTGGAGAGCTCAGCCTCCTCCTAAGGAGGGTGGAGGAGAAAGGCTCAGGGCAGTGGATGGGAGCAGCAGGCGGTGGCTGTGGGACAAGGCCATGGTGAGCCTTCAGTCCCACAGCTGGGCAGGGGAGGGAGAGAGCTGGGCAGGACCCCCATGGCGTGTGGTGTAGGCATGGGCAGCAGTGCCCTGCCTGCTCTACAGTGGGACCGCCTCCGCTGAGCACCAGTACCTGGGCCGTCAGTGGTGCCTCTGGGCAGTTGTAGTATGAGGCCACGGCTTCCCGGCAGGACTGGTAGCCTGGGGAAAGAGAAGCCAGACATTGAAGGGAGTTTCTTTTACAGAACGTTTCCTTCTTCTGCCAGTACAAGGCTCACAGCTGCCACCCAACTGGAGGAAGCTCATTTGTTAGTGACACTGTCCCTAACTGCATGGCCTTCACCATCTAGTGATGGCACAGGGGCAGCCCTCCCTGTCACCATATGGGGTGTCCTGGGAGCCAGGCACGATCTATGCTCTGTGCCTGCTTTTTGCACTAACTGCAAACAAGCCTCATGTGGTCCATGAAATCAGGGAGGCCAGCGGAATTCCTGGTGAAGGCAGATCAGAAAGGAACTTGGCTGCAGCCCAGGGCAGGGAGACACAGTCCCGAGCCCTTCTGGTTGCGGTGCCTGAAACCCTGCCTGCTCTAATGGCAGGAGCAAACATAGCTGCTGCCAGCGGCGCAGGACCTCAACCAGGTCATGCAGGTCATGCAAGGGCACTGAAGTGTATCTGGAGGATACACATGCTGGTGTTCTCATGGGACCAGCAGCTGCAGGGTGCTACTGGAAAGATGCCTGTGAGTTCCGTGTACCTGCTGAGGTGTAGCAGCTGGCACACGCCTTCATCCTACTTTCACAGGAAGAGCTTTGTTAACTTACCAACAGATGGGGCATAGCCATTGTAACGTCCCGAGTCCAAAACCTCCTTCACAGCCAGTGTGACCTCATCATTTGTTGGAAGGTTTCCAAATACCGTTGGGTCTCCTTTTTGAAGATTGAAAAAATAGTAAGGTTCTCACTGATCTGTGACACGCACAAGCTTTGTGCTTCAGAGCCCTGCAATCTGCCAGCCACACAGTCTACCCCATTGTTGAGGCTTCAGCCACAACACTATGCTCACCTAAGGACAAGGAGATCATAGCTTTCTTTGGGTTTGGCTCCACCTTCATGCTGTCTACAATGGCTCGGACAGGATTGAAAGTCTTCTTTGACATTTCAGAAGCCCTGACGGCCCATCTTGGCTTCCGGGCCTTCACCTTCCCCAGTGATATGCTGCTCCCGTTGGTCTTGAGATGAACATCCAGCATAGGAGCATGATCCCCATGGCCATTGACTTGGATCAGATATGAGTCCATCCTGAGAGCTGTCAGTGTGAAGTGGATTTCCTGTGCTTAGTTAAGACGTAGCAAAAAAGGGATCTACCCATTTGGAGACACAGCCCACGACTCTCCAAAAGTAAAACTTGTGAAAGCTGTAGACCCTACCTACTGCCTACAGACAACTCAGCAGCAAGCAGGGCTGTATTTGGGGCCAGGATGGAGTGGAACCACACACGTAAGTGAGAGCGCAATGCAGTGGGAAAGATGAAGGCACCTCTCTGTGGTAGCCTTGCATGGACTTGCTGTGCTGAGGAGGAACAGGCCCCCTAAAGCCAGCAGCCAAGAGTCAGCAGCATGTTGTAGTCACTGCTTGACTGCAGATTTAGTGTTCCACTAACACAATGGCCAGGCCACCCTCCTTCTCCTCCTCACCCCCATCTACCGACTTGCACACCTCAAACTGCAGCCACAAAGGTCAGCCCACTGTGTGTGTGCCCGTCCAGAATGTCCCTCCAGTCTGCAGACAGAAATGCACCACTCTTTAAATCACATCTCCGGTACCAAAAAGGTACTTCTGGTCCCCTGTTACCAGGGTGCACCGGGCAGCGGCAGTGGATACGTTACAGACATTTGCCTCTGTCAGCAGATCAATAGGGAGCAGCAGCCCAGCCCAGGGACCCTAGATCAAAAGGCAGTGCTTACAAAATGGAGCGAGACTGGGGCGGCCAAAAGGGAAACTAGGGAGGTGGCACTGCCCCAAGCAAAGAGCCTGTAGTCCTGCCTGAGGCTGGGTAATAAGCAAGGCACAAGAGGAATAGCTCCTTCTAGGCCCCAAAATGCACACAAAATGACTTAGGCACCCCAGCATGTGCCAGACCCAGCCAGCAAAGGCCTCACTGATGAACTGCTGCTGACTCAGGGCTTTCCACCTGCAGAAAGTTAGGGACAGGGCACGGGGCAGGCAGAGACCTTCTGAGACACCAAGCCCATTCTGGCTGATTCTGGCACACTGTTTTATAATCCTGCCACAAGTGGAGACTCAGTGAACAGTGAGCCTTTCCTGGTCAAAGTTACTTAGCCTCAGGCTCACAGATATTCACAACACAGCTTACCCATTCCTTGCTGCAGAGACTGCGCTGGAAGGGTGGTAGCCCTGCCTGGTTCAGGCAGGATCTCTCATCTGAACGCATCTCTCACTGCTTCGATGGAGTTTGCACCTAGAGATGCCCCGTGCTGCCGCAGTCACTCTGCCAGCAGCACCTCATTAGCCTGTTTATAAGAATTCGGGCCGATCCAAAAGGGTCACAGCGTGGGACCTCAGCTTCTCTGCTGCTAATACCTTCTGGGCCCCCTTTCTACCAAAAGAACGGCAGCTGAGGAAACACACAGCCGTGCTGCTAAAAAACTGAGCAGAGAGATGAGCCATATATCTCAGTTCAACAGCAGGGCTGAGTCCCAAATGCAGAGTCTAACCCGGCAGAGCCTCCACACCACCCTACAATGGGGTGCTGCAGACACAGGCACGATGGATGCCTTCAGTGCAGGCAGCCTGGGAAGATCTCCCCACTTCTCCCCCTGAAAGCATCAAGGTACCAGAGCATAGTACTTTACCTTCTACAGCACGGAGAGGGAGACACCAACAAGCTTGGGGGTCCAGTCCCTACTTTTCATGCAGGACGAGTCCCCTTGAGAGGAAATTCCTGCGAATTCTTGCCCAAGAAATAAGCCCCCCAAATGGGCGTTGGGACTGAATCGTATAGCCATTGGCTCACAGAGAGGGCTGCCCTCCCCACCCAAAACCGCCCTCTCCTCCCCATTGCAATTGTGTTCAGTTCAAACACCTGGAACATGCCTGCACATTAACTCTTTCTGGGGGCAGCCTACAGAGGGACACAGCGTGGCTTCCTGGAGGCCCTGGGCTGCCACCCTTTTGCACTACTTCCCTCAGTTCTCAAAGACTGCCAGGAGGAAAATCTGCACAGAGTCCAGGTATTCCAGCCCTAGCACCTTGCAGTGCATCAAGAGTGGATTGATAGACTCCAAAGCCCTTGGAAAGCATCAGTCTGTCCTGACCTCAAAGGCTCTAGGGTCCCAATGCACCAGCTGAGAAAGGACAGTTGGTGGCATCATTTCAATTAGGAGACATCTTCCTCCATAGGCTGAAGGAAGGCAGGCACTTCTCTAGCCAGGGTCTTGGAGGCACCAGGACCTGAAGGGTTAAAGGAAGCTCAAGTTGATATTTGTTTGGGTTTGGGTTGGGTTTTTTTTTTTGTTGCTGCAAGGTCCAAGTAAACTCATAATTTTGGCAGCTAACAGAAATGATGCAATTCTTCCCTCTCTGATGGTACTGCAAAGCACAGATGACACCATTCCCAGAAGGCTCTTTTTTGCTAAGTGATGCGAAATCTATGCCTTCCTGTCCCTTGACTCTTGCAGGCCAAGAGAGGCATCAGCACCCTCCCTGTCATCGGAGGGCTGCTCCAAGTCTTCCCTTACTGCCTTGGCAGCAAATGGCTCGAGATCAAATTGTTGCTGAGGCACAAGCGGGAATCTGCTGATCTTCTTGCAGAAGAAGGTGTCCTGCTGATGCCTTCATTGCAGAGGCCAACAGTCACTGGGATTTTTGCCTGTTTGCACCCACTCCTGCGTGGCAGGAGGAAGGACCACTTGTGCTCAACCCACACTCACTGCACCACCTGCAATAAGGCTGCACCTCCCCAGGTGCCAGCAGCGGCCCTTTCCCTCAGTGTTGGGGCTGGGGTGACACTGCTGGGGCATCAGGACCTGCCATTGACCACCATGCTGCCATGGGCACGGCTGAGGCCACAGTGGGAGACAGGGACTTAGGGCTGGAGGCAGGTTGGGAGGTAGCAGGGTCCAGCCAGGGTCCCCAGCCCCAGGCTGGCTGGCCAGGGTCCCACTGCAGCCACCCCCTGGGGTCTTTGGATAAGGAATAGCACCTTTCTAAAACACGTCACAGAGAAACCTCTTCTGTTGAAGCTGCTTGGACTCTCTTTCTGCTGAGAGCTGCACAGTTCCAGGCTATTTTCTGTCTTCTTTTTACTAATGCCTGACATGAGCGACCTTCAGAAGTTCATGCAGCCCCTCTCCCAGCACCTATGGGTTATTTTCTCACTTCCCCCCGCTGGCCCCATCTCTTGCCACACTGCAGCCCCGCCAGGGTTAAATGTGGCATTGGGAGGCCTCAAGGACAATGTGTTCTGCCTAGCAACAACCCTGAATCTGATGCAACCTGGAGCTCTACCCATAATACTGCACACAGCAGCGGGGTTCAGGGGAGGGCATGGTGGAAGCCTGCTGCCAAGAGGGGAAAAAAATGTGGCTCTGGAGACAAAGACCCAGTTACATAAGGCTGAGAACCTGTCCAGAAGCAGGGGGAGGACAGTGGTGTTTCAACAGAGTCAGGGGGTTTCTCCTGCTGTTACTATACCTTTCTCCTCTCTCTGCATGACTCCAGTCCTTCTCTGGATGCTCTCACATAGGGTCTGCAGCCCCCCATCCCCTCCTGCCCCCATCACCTCGTGGTGCACAGAGCCTGCAGGGCTGAAGCATGAGCACACACACGGCTCAGCACTTCATATTATACAAATAAGGCCAACCCACTACTTGTATGGTGGGGTGAAAGAGGTGGCCATACCCTGCAGGATGCATTTCTGCCAGCAGGGCAGCTGTACCCCACTAGCCCTGACTGGCCTCCCCCCTGCAGTTTGCCCCTCTGTCCCAGCAGCTCTCCCCCACAGGTATCCTCCTTGCAGACCTCTTCAGCTCCCTCCTTCTTGTGTACCTTCAGCAACTGATTTTTATCACTTCCCAGTGGAAGAAGAAAGTGGTGATGGCTTCCATGGATTTTTGGTTGCTCTGGTACCAGGACTGCCCAGAGCCTCCTTTCTGTGAACAGAGGCCAAACCAGCAAAAGCAAGCAGTTCCTTCTTCCAGAACCAGCCACAGTTAGAAAGCAGGACTGACAAATGGCTGCTCGAGAGGAGCACAGGCTCAAGCATGGCCACACCAACAAATCTGTGTCTCTGCCAAGCTGTGGGCAGGACACGCACCAGCAGAGGTTTGCCCATGTGCCCAGCTACAGGGACAGAGGACCCCCAACTGGTACCCTGCAAATCCACCAAAAAATCCAGGGTCAGTAACAAGTCACTTTACTAGTTACCTCCTCACATTTTGCTTTTATTTTCAGCAATTTCTGTCTTCTCTTTTCTGACACTGGCAACAGCCTCAACCTGTTCAGGGCTGGTATCCACAAATATCTGCATAGCCTAATCTCTGGTCTCTGCTTTTCCAGTTGATTCAGCTTTTAATAACCAAATATGTGATATTTTCATTTTTCTTTTTGAAATCAATTTATTATTAATCTCTCATTTAGATGAGCAAACACCCATGAAGCCTCCCTGGTTCTCATGAATCCAGTGACTGTTTATTGATTCCCACAGCATATTTATCTTCATCGCACTGCAGCAGGTTTTCTGAAACGTGAGGGACAAACTGTGCCTGTTAGAGATCACGTCACACGGTCCCTCTGAAAACGCACATATTGACAGTTAAATCTGCCTTGTGGTGTGGATAGGGCTGCTGTGCCAAACCTACATATATTTGCGTGAGTCCCTGGTCAAACCACGATGTTTGTTGTGCCTCCAGCAATCTTAGTTAAGCAGCATTCACCTGAAAAGGAGCATTATCTCTCTTCACATAATCAGAGCAGAAAATCAGCTCAAAAAAACCCCGCAGCTAGATTCTATAAAGCTGTGTAAACAGTGTGTTTAAGAGCCAGAAAGATGGCACAATCCACACACAGTGACTCAAAGCCAGTGCCCAGGTGGCTCAAAAACACACAGTAGCTGCTTTATTGGCCTGTACTTAGGATCATTTTTGATTTGATCTCAGAAATAAAAATCTGGAGGACATTAAAAGGCAAATTGCACTGTCTGGCCGGAGATGCCTCAGTCTGGAAGAGCAGCCTGTGTACAGAAGCGGTTTGCAGGGCGCTCTTCCCACCTGTGTGAGCTGGGCTTTGGAAAGGGGAGCACTGGCATCTGGGACTTGTCTCATCTCTGCACTTCTGCCCGTGGAACAAGGTGGCTGACAACGTGCACGAACTCCGGGCATCGCAGCAGGGACAGTGATACCCTGGCTGGGCTCCTGGTAGAGCTCCTGGTCTGCAGGCCCTGGGCCAGGCTGGAAGTAGCCGCATTAATACACCTGCCTTAATGAGCGCTCTCTCCTACAATTGCAATTTCCCTCTGTCAAGGAAACTAGGGAATGTAAAAAACAAATGCTTTCATGACTGTGGAATCTTGTGGGCCTCCCACAACATCAGTGTCTGCAAATGCAGCGCTGCAAGCTGGTACCAGCTGTGCCAGGCAATCCAGCTGGCTCTCCCCAGCCACGGACCATCGCAGCAGTAAAGGAGCCTGGCATCTGTGAGGGCCCTCGCCCGCTCAGCCTGGGCACCAAGTCCCCTGAAAGCTTGCTAAGAGACACCAAGTGCACTCCAGGTTCATGGAGAGTGGGAAACGCTGGTGAGCTACAGGCCCAACAGCCTCCAACAAAAGCCTTGCGAGTCCTGTGACAGATGCTGAGAGGAATGTTCCATGAAGCCTGAGCTTCAGTGGCTCCTGGGTACAGGAACAGTGAAGAGAAACACTTTGTCCATCCTTGTGTTTTGCTTACGTCCAGGTAAACATTATGTAAGTGCATACCCTGTGTTTGAGTTATGACTTCAGAGACTTGAGCTGTTGCGTGCTTTGTTGTGGCAGCTGCCCCCTTGATGGCCTTGAAGCCACAGGGACAGTGACCAGCCAATGGGGACGAGATGGAAAGGGGCACGGTGGCTTCGTGGGGCAAAGCAACACCATGAGCTTGCAGTAAATGGGGTGGGCAGCACCAGGCACCTCTTTCTCCATGAGCACAGGCAGGCCAGCCCCTCTCATCACTCAGTTTGAGCCCCAGTGATGGCAACCCACCATCTGCCCAACCAATCTGCTCCAGCAACAACTGCTCGTCTCCTTACAAAGTGGTGGAGTTGGAATGTGGGGGAGAAGTATTGTCTTTTTTGGGGGGTGCTGAAATCCCATGCCTTTTCCTTCAAGCTAAGCTCACTGCTTCCTGACCATGCCAACAGCTAACGGGGAGAACAAAATATTCCCCTTCTCTTGACAGCAGCTTTTTAGAAGTTTGCAGGTTGTTAAGACACCTCCCTATTAACAAGTTTGCAAGTTGTTAACAGACACCTGTTCTGTCAAATGAGAGGACTGTGATCCATCCTTTTTCTCACTAGGCTGTATTTCTAGAGCTTTCTTTTGCTTTCCTCTGGATCCCCTCCAGCTGGTCCATTCACCTCTGGATGGAGGCCCAACCGGCGCAGGAGGGGGGGACAGAAGAATTTCTTCACATGTCCTACATGTGACATTCCTGTTTATACACCCTAGCAATGTTAGTTTTTTTCGCAACAGGATGACATTGTGGACTTGAGTTCAGTTTGTCGTTCACAATAACCTCCAGTTCTTTTCTGCAGCAGCGCTGCATCGTCACCGCGCTGCGCTCATTGTTCCCGTGATTATTTATTTATGTGGGACAGTCAATAAATCTGGCTGTGGTGCTCAGCAGTGATTGTGCTGCAGCTCCCAGCTGCCTCACACTGGAGAAATATGAGGCAGTTCATGACTTGCTCCTTCCACTTCCCCCTCCAAGTTCCCAGGGAGGGCACTGAACCAGGTCAGAGCTCTTGGCCCTTCCCTTCCCTTAGGGCAGCAATGACATCAGCAGCAGCAGGAAACAGAAGAGCCAAAAATAAAAAGAAAAAAAATGAAAAAGAGAAGCCAAAGCAAAGGTGAAGATTAATATGGGTGTCCTCAGCTTCCTGTTGCTCTCTCCTGCTCACTGCTACTTGTTGCAGTGAGAGTAGGAACCCAGAAGATGACACTGACCAAGTTCAGCCCAGGTACTTTGAGCAGGACTGAAGTGACACACAGCATTTTTTAAATAATTCTTGATATAGCAACAGAAATAGAATAAGGCCAACTCAGTTCTACAATACCTTGAAGTTTGTACCTCGCTTGTTAGCAGCAAACACTCCAGTAAAACACTGGATGCACCACCAAAGCAACAGAGCAGCACTTCCCAGCTCTGTCTATGAACAAGTAATTCCGGCACATCCCAAATTCCAAAGAAAGCTTCACCTTGGGTTGCTGGATGACCCGCAGCAACACTCTGCATAAGAAACACTTATTTAATCCCTTCTTGTGACTCATTATTATTCAATTTAATTGTTCGTTTCCTTGTCATAACAGTTAAAAGCTCTACTAAGCAAAATGGCACTGCCCACGATCCTAAAATTATACAAAGGGTTGCTGAAGCCTTTAAGCTCTTTTCCCTCTGCGTGGCAGCAGGGTGGCCAGAGTTCTGGCACATGAACAGGAGCAATGCAACCTCCGCTCGCTGAAAGGTGTCTGCAACAGCCTCGCTGCTGAGCACCACCTCCAGAGCCCTCCTCCTAAGCTCCCTTGGGGCTCCCCACCATCACCATACAGCTCCTGTCCCCTCTGTCTGACCTGGAGGTTGAACAATGAGTCCTTTTGTTTTGCTTCTCTCTTATCCCCAAACTAAGTAAACGTTAAGACAAGTTTTCAGATCTCCTGTCCTTCATGGAGTCAGGTGAAATGTTGGGGAGAGCGTTTTCCTACAGTGCCGAGGTGCAGAAGTACCGCAGATTATAGGCTTCTTAGGGTATCAGTCTATAGGGTTGTTGCTGTTGCTCCTGCAAAGACATAAGGGTAAAGCCATCTTACTGTTGCCACCAATCTTACAGCCGGAGGAAATGTATTTTCTGCATCTTAGTGACAAATTTGGACCTTTTGGGGCACATACTCAGACACTGTGTCTGAGACCTCATGGGGTAACCCTGTTTCCCTAAAAGACCCTGTTTTCCTAAATGCAACAAAAGTATTTCTTTGCACTGCTAAAGCTTTTCCAGGCAGTGTTTGGTCAAACTTTTGGATAAAAGGCATTCACTCTGGCTGTGGAGTTTTCTATGCTTCCCTCTCTGTTTCCAAATTATTTTTTCTCACCCCACACACCCCTTCTTCAATCAGCCCTGCCCTGACCAGCCCTGAGAAAGGCTGACACTCGTGCATGGGTGAGATCTCGGGCACCTGCCTTCACACCAGCAACTGCCAATAGACAAATAAACATGGTCTCCTCTGCCACAAGGTGATGGCTGTGCTCAGCAGCCTCCTGGGATGGGGTGGCCCCCAGTCCCACCAGGCAGCAGGACACCACTGAGGGTGGAAATGCCTACAAGTATCTCAAGGGCGGGCTGAGGGAGGAGGGAACCAGACTCTTTTCAGTAGTTGCCAGTGAGAGGACAAGGGGCAACGGCCAGAAGTTGGAACAGAAAGGGTTCCACTTGAATATGAGGAAGAACTTTTTCACGGTGAGGGTGACGGAGCCCTGGAACAGGCTGCCCAGGGAGGGTGTGGAGTCCCCTTCTCTAGAGATTTTCAAGACCCGCCTGGATGCAGTCCTGAGTAACATGCTCTGACAAGCTCTGGGTGGTCCTGCTTTAGCAGGGGAGTTGGACTAGATGATCTCTATGGTCCCTTCCAACTCTAAAAATTGAGTGAAATTCAGTGAAATTCAGTGAAAGGGGACAACCAGGAAAAAGGTCCCATGGCATTGTCTGAAGCGGCCTCCAGCAAACAGACACAGACGAGGTCTAATGTGGTCTGGTAGGGATACATATAAGGTAATGCACTCAAAGAAAATTACCTGAATGCGGCCTGCAGAGTGCTGGACCACAGGATGGATCCCAAGGTGTTGATGACTGTCCTTGGAGACACGGCCTCCACATGCTGGGCAGCTGGAGAAGCAGCAAAATGCCATGCATTGCCAGGAGAAGCACGGGCCAAGGCAGAGGTGGTCACACCGCTGTGAGAGAACTCCCTGTTTGCACTCGTGTCTCGGGTGCTGCGTGGAGGTCCAGCCACTGCACCTCCCCATGGATGTAGGGGTGTCAGGGACGGGCTGGAGAAGGGCAGGTGATACAACAGAGGGAACGGTGCCGCTGCTGTGCGAGGAGAGGCTGAAAAGGCTGGGACGTGGGTCTGGGAAGGGCTCAGAGGGGCAGGACGGAGGTTGGGAGAGGTGCAAGAGGAGCCGCACGGGGAACATTCCACCAAACCCCTCAGCAGAGGGAAAAGCAGCACTTGTGACAATCAGCCTGTGCCGTTCCCAACAGCTACGGACAGGAACTGGTTCCACGGCGGGGGGGAACTTCAGGACCCTGTCGCCAGAAGGGGCTGGCCGTGGGGACCGTGTCCTTGTGGACGGGAGCGGGGACACTCGCGGCCGACAAGGTCCCCAAACAGGTTCCGAAGGGAGGCGGCCGCCACCAGCCCGATTAATACCTCCCTGGGGCGGGGCGGGCCCGGAGCTGCTCACCGCCCCCGGGAGGACCCCGGCAGGGCCCAGCCGAGCCCGGGACGAAGGGACGGACCCCCGCGGCAAGACCCCCGCGATCCCCGCGTCGGTGGCCCCGCGGCCCGGCCCGGCCCGGCTCCCCGCTCCCCGCACCGGAGGAGCGGAGCCAGGCCGGGCCATGGCGGAGCGGAGCAGCTCCCGC